GGTAATAAGGTAATAACACTTATGCAGTGAGTGCAATCGAAAATTCATTCTCAGGAAGCCACTACAAGAAACGTTCATCGGATTCTCAAATATCTTTCTGCCAGGTTGGCATTAACTGTTCAAAATGAAACATGAATCCAACAGACTTAGAGAGCAGTAATCCATGCCAGTAGTCCCTCTTATTGTGATGTGGCCTAAAAATTTCTTGCAACACTATGACGCACACTTCAGACAAACGCTTATAAATAACAATACATTTTGTTAATAATTGTTGTAGTTCTTTACGTTTCATCTCCCTGTAACAAAACTATCTTGATGTTTGAGATATTAAAAATTATGACTTTGATGTTGGTTCAAAGTCGTTTCGAGTCTTATATATTCTTCAACTGTAGAAATGCTGTCCTTGCTTTGAAAATCCTTTGATTCATGTCTTCGCCAGATCCTCCTTGATTATCTATGATGCTGACCAGATATGTCAATCTTCACACATTTTCCATAGCTTCTCTATCAAGTGTGGTTAAGTTCGTGCTCGCTGTGTTGCAATTCAGGATCTCGTCTTTTCCTTTGTGTATGTTGAGGCTCACTGTATTGGTTGCTATGTATGGGATAGAAGAGCTAGATCATCTGCAAGGCCCAAATCGTCTAGTTGCATCCAACCTGTCCATTTTATTTGATGCTTACCCCGAGATGTGGAGGTCAACATAATCCAGTTAACCACCAGAAGAAAGAGGAAGGAGGAGAGTAGGCAGCCTTGTCTGACACCGGTCCCTATTGGAAAGTCATTTGTCAGATGTCCTCCATGCATGACTGTTCGCTGTAGTCCGTCGTATGAGTTCTGGATAATGTTGACAATCTTCTCAGGTACTCCATTATGTCAAAGAAATTTCCATAATGTTTTCCCATTCACACTGTCAAATGCCTTCTCACTGTCAATGAAGTTGTTGTATAGTGACGAGTTCCACTTAACTGGTTGTCTAACGATGATACGTAGTGTCGCAATTTAGTCTGTGTACAAATGATCTTCGCGCAATCAACCCTATGAATCTCGAAGTTGGCCATCTACCATATGTTTTGTTCGTTTCAACAATAGCCTGTTGAAATCCCTTCCTGATACTGATTTTAGTGTGATGTCTGTGTAGTTCATTCACTTGCTCGTATCTCCATTACTTGATTCTTTGATGAGGTATTCTTCTTTCCAGTCTGTTCGCACTTGTTCTTCCTCTAAAATATTCCTGAAAAGAACATGCAGCATATTTGCAGTTACATCTATGCTTCAGCTAGTATGTTGTGTGGTCCTGCTGCTTTCCCACTCTTGATTTGTCTGATGACCATGCTGATCACTTCGATCGTTGATGGAGTGACATCTGTAAGAAGGTTTGTAGGTACTGCTAAGAAATCCGGTAGGTTCAGTGAGCCTGGTCTACTCGAGGGTTCTTCAAAATGTTTTTCCTACCGCTTCTACTGTTCTTGAATACTGGCGATTGTTTTGTCTTGTTTTTCCTAGACCGGTCTCCCTGGTTTACTATATTTCCCTGCCATTTTCTTCTTTGTGTTTCATGTTTCCTTCTCTTGCAGTTTTTACTGCTGCCATTGCTAAGTGTTCCATGTATTTCTGACTGTCGAATCTAATGCTCCTTTCCACTCTCATGTTTGCTTTTGTTTGTTCTGCGTGTGCTCAGGCTTTCTATGCTCTTGATCGAGTGTTCTTTATTATTGTCTTCTTGTTTTTACTTTCTTGTATCCTCCCAGGGGCTTCCATAGATGTCCATTCATTATGATGGTAATGCTCACTGCCCGGAACCTCCTGACACGCTGAAGTTAGTGCTTTATTTATCAAAAATTTCGAGTGCATTTTATGATCCCAAGGTCGGTTAATAATATCCTTAACCTCCACAGCATTAATGTTTACTTTAACAAACAAGAATTCATTTTTGATTTGTGAGCATCACACAATCTTGTGGTTTTGCCATCAAACTTTCAAGGGGGATGATGTGGTTGTGCTTGAAGAGAAAAATACTTGGTTCGGATCTCGAAGTGAATATCAACTACAGGGTGCAGGTGCAACCAACTATTTAGTCTCAAATAGGACAAAACGCGTATCCTGAATTCCATTGCTACACACCATCGATCTCCCATTATAACACTTATAACCTCAGGCCATATCTAGTCAACCTGCACAGGATGCCTAAACATCGATGGGGAGATCCACGAAACCAATAACAAAATGTATTACTCTTTGGCTAATACATAGAGAAAGAAATATGAAAAATAAAGCGGGTTGAATTTCGTATGAGAACTTATAATACACGCAACTGTTTATTTTAGATTCTAGTAGAGACGAGTGACAAAATAAAAAAAATCGTAAGAACATTTGAAGATATTAGATTCTAAGTAACTTGAATCACATGATTAATCATAGACAAATAAATTATAATTATGTAAACTTATTACATAAGCACACAAATACAGACTTTATAAAAACTTATTTTCTAAACAAACTTAAAGATGATATGCTGTAATTCAGAAGGTAAAAAGATAGTTTAAAAATAACTTAAACGTGATAATTTACTAAAAATTTAAAAGAGAGAAATTTGTTCTCAAACACTTGTGATCGATAGAAGGTTTCAGTCGAGTGAATAATTTTTCACAGATGGAAATCAGATGAAGAGCTAAAGAAAACAAGGGAATACTATACAAAGATTTTATCAAACTTTAGCATTCTTCAACAGTACATACCTACGAAGATTGTGTTTATCCACGAGGATGATATAGTGGAGTCAACTATTTTCCGACTTTCGTTCAATTACAATATAATGCAATTGGTGTCAGGTAGTATTGTCAAACAACTATTTCCTACACAACTCATCTGATTGTACTGTTGAAAGCTCCCAGTCAAAACTGCATGAAATTCACCTTCACTCTAGTCCCTGATCACCTCTCGACTATTGTTGGTTAGTGTGGAAAGTGAAGGGGTTGATTGAGGAGTTGTGGAGACGTAGTCCATTTGTGTGCAGGTTCATCCATGTGTATCCGTTTGTCAAAAATCGTCGAGACTGTTGTGAAGCTCTTAGATAATTAGGAATACTATATTGAGATACCTTATCACTGAACCAATCAGATAGCACACAATCGAGGTTCCGATGTTTAAATCGTTTGATACGAAACATCCTGAAATGTGAGTGACCAAACCGAACTTATCTGGTATTCGACGGTATTTCCAAATCGGTCAATAGATTTCAGTAAGTAGTGCGTGTCATGTAGAATGTCGATTGCCACGCTTTTGGTTGAGTTACGTTGAATTGATTTCAACTCGACAGTTCGGAAAACCATCTTCTGGTGTACCGAATTTAAGACAGACACACAAAATTAAATGAGAGGAAGTCACGTGAATAACTTGATTGCATTCACACCACCAATTAATTGAATTGTAATCACACATTACGTGGAGAAATGGAGACAGATCTGAGAAGAATGAACAACAATGAGGTAGAAGAAGAAGAAGAAGAAGAAAGGAAGGCACAGGACAGAGTGTGTTGGAGAATACTGGTCTGCTGTCTATGCTCCATTGGGAGTAACAAGCGTAAGGAAGTAATCAAGTAAGTAACCTCACCAATATGAACTGTTACGTGTTTGGGAGTAGTGCAACCCACATCTCACAGTGGTGAGGATCAGGAAGACATTTAGTCATACAAATGAGATTTCCAATTTTTCATGAGTAAATAAACCTAAACACTAACATTCGTTACACAATATACTATTTTGTTGAGTCTTCTTATCAATTGTTGGATGTAAATCTGTGAACAGTGTGACAAACAATTAGGGCAAAACAAATCACATTTCATCTAATTCTGTTTAGTGTTTTACATGAAACAACACAATTAATTGACCCTGTGATTGTTTGAATGACACCCTAAATTGATTATTGATTGTATCTTATATGTGGTCATTTAATTGTAAATGGAGTTTTCTTTTTGTTAATCATTTCCGAAAGTTGTTGTAATACGCCTAATTCTAGTTATTGTTGTGTTCAGTTTCATCGTTTTAAGTGATTGATTTGACACTCGATAATATTATGATTTATGAAATGTCTTATGTATTTTACCCGTTCACTCCTGTTAAATCAGTGCATATGTCGTTTCAGATAAACACAATAATTTTTCAGACAAAGCGTACTTTTCATTGCTAAAAATTTCATACCCATTTAGTAACCCTCATGTTTGATGAAATCCTATTTAAAATAGTCTTCCTATGAACAAATTTTCATTTAGTGTCATAAATAAGTATTTTTCTAACGTTGTTTCTTACTAGTGATTCAATGGGTATAAATCTCATATTTTTACCAAGAAAATCAGATGACACATAACCTTTATAAGGTATCTTTCAAGTATACACATTACTCAAATAGAATGCAAATAGGTCTCTTGATTATCTGAAAATTAACAGACATCATAAACACTCTTTACAGAGTATCAAATAATTTTTGTTAAGATGATTTATTTTTTGCCGGAATAAAGCAAATTGTTTATTTTCAGTAAAATCTATGTCTAATGAAATTTCATTGACGGGTATGTAGATCTTCATGCTGAAAAGTATATAATATTTTAATGTGTAAAGTATACTCAAATTGAATGAATTGGATGCACTTAATGGAAGAGATAACCTGAGAAATTAATATGAACACTTTAAAGATCTAGACAATCAAAGTTTTTTTTTAGACAACCTTAATGTATTATAAGTGAAAAAATAGATATCTCCGGATTCGTTGAAAAGTACTATAGTATTCATGAATATATCAGTGTTTGAAGGAAGTAGAAGACAGTGGATATAATTAAATGGATATTACTTAATAAATACAAAGCAAGTAATTATGTACAATCCATCTAGGAGTCGATACAAACATAATAGCCTTTCATCTATAGAAATGACCATGATATTCTAATTGTTTATTCATGCATAGATAAATAATTAACTAAATTTATCAATTGCATTGATTTGACCTTGATTCTAAACTTTATAATAAGTTACATAATATAAGTACAACTTCAGATATAATTTACTGATAAGATTCAAATGCAACTCATTAAGACAATCTTATATTTAAACTATCAAGGTCATTCGAATTTATATATCTTTAGTGATGATAAACAAAAACTAAAGAGGACTAATTAACCAATCACAAACTATCATTTATTTGATGCAAAACACTATATATATATATAATATTACCAAAGGTAGCATCGTATTAAGATTGAAATTGTACAATTATATATGAAAACTGATTATAAAGTACCCTTTAATTATTTTTACATCAATAGAGAGAATATTAAATCTCTCTTCTAAAGAGAAACATTTACTGTTAAGAAACTATGAAATTCTATCTACATAGATCTTATTTTCTAAAAGGGAAATTAAAATAATGCCAAAAACGAAAATAGTGGAAAGTGGACCATTTTCAGAAAATGAAGAACTATGTATTAAATATTGGTGTGATAATGGAGATAATTGGGATTTCTTTACCATGATAACAGGTTTATTATTGTTAATTATGGGATTAATTTGTTCTATCATTGAAGTTGGTTATATACTTTATACATATCGTATACAATGTTACTGTGTTGGTTTATGGTGTTCTGGAGGTTTTCTATTAATTGGTACTCTTGCTATGGGATTATATCATTATGAATCAGTCCCATCAGCATCATTTATGTTATTCTGTGTAATGTGTGACTTATTATTTGGTATAGTTATGCCACTGATTGAAATTGTTTTCACAATTAACTGTGGTAAATTAAATGTTTTATATTATCTAATCACAATGATCTGCATACTAGTTGGATTAATAAGTATTGTACATACATTTTTTGTAACAAGAGAACTTTTAAAATTACGACGACAGTTCTATCGTGAAGGATAACTCAGTACCAAATGAAAATAGAGACGTATTGAAAGAGATTTTAAAAAACAAAACAGAACAATAAAACAATATAAAGGAAGAGTTAACTTTCTCTGGATGATCAGAACAGATATACACATGAGTTGCTTCTCTCTTTCAACAAAAATACTACTTATTCATTAAGAAGTACATTTGTATATTTTTAGTACGGATGCTTGAACGATGAAAAGTAAGATCTACATACGTTTCTTTAATTTAATGTTTGGTTGAATAAAAAGAATTTTAATACTTCAAATGTTTAGGAAGTGTTTTATACTGAATCATTTGTCAGAATAATTTACCATAAATTAATACTTTTGAGGTGTTAAATAATGTAACCTAAACTTTTTTGTACGTTTAATAGCCTCCTTAGAACTATCAAATTATAGTTATGATTAGAGACAACATACAACAAGTAAATTACTCTTATTTATTTGCTGAATATAATAAGTCACAGTGGTACGTGGTCAAAATTAATGTCATTAAATTGGATTTTACTTGATAAATATGTATAAATCAGTCATTGGAATAAGTCATATCCAAACTATGAGCCTAGGATTATTGCACTATAACAGTTCATTAAAGTTCAAGAATAAACATATTTATAATTAGTAATTTGTACTAGTACAATCCCCAATCAAAAAGTTAACAATCTGACTTAAATTTTATTTTAATTACTTCATTTATATTATGAAATTTATCAGGATTTATTAGTAATGATAGATTTTTAACTTTTTCTTTTAAAATAGATTTTTCTAACTCTCACATGAAGAATATTTAGCATATTGTTGTAATTCAATAAAAATTAAAAACGCAAAGTTCAACGAAGGGATCTATTTTCAACGAATTTATTATCAAGCTGTACAATCGTATATATATGAAAATGTTTTGTTAAAGTACTAATTCCGTGAGGAAATATGAACACTAATAAGCAAGAATATAATACTAGATTATGTAATACGAGTAGTAACAATAGATTTAGTAAATATAATAAAACGAATAAAATGTTTTGGTTACAATAATTAAAGGTCATAGAGGTGTAAAAACAAATAAGATGATATGATGAGTATTCATGAATAAAATAATGAGAATATAAGACATAAGTAAAGGGGAAATAGAGTAATAGTAATAAGAATAAAAACAAAAATAATAATAATAGAATGATAATAAAAATAATATTAAGGCCATGGTAACGATAATGATGAGACGTACTTCTTTTGTACGCATAGTTCTGGTTTGAGCTCATGGATGGTAAAAGCTTCGGCTATTCTTAGGAGTTGGATACGAAGAAATTTAGGTAGATTTGAATGAATCATATAAACAACCTTAAAACCAGACTGTGGATCCGTAGAATGATTACAGTCGATTAGGTGTTCAAGTATAGAACTCCTAACTGCTTTCCTTTCACCCTTGTAGAACCAAACTGGGATATGTTCTCGTATCCGAGTTGAATTCAATAATGTTGAGGTTAGATTAAGATAAACTAGTGGAGATAAGTAGCATCTGAAAGTACATGCATTTTTTCTTTTGAAGTTGGAAATTTATGAAAACTCGGTGATCGATTCATCTCAAAATAATGACCAGTGTTTATATAAAATGAGTAATCTTTATGTTAGTGTATAGCTCCTAAAAAGTAATAGAATATATCTACTGTTTACAGCCATTTTCTGCTCTCTTCACAACTTCTAAATCATTAGCTTCGACAGTTTTTTATGTTTTCGATTATTTTTATCATTTATTAATGAAATTAATTCCCTGTATTACCACAGGAGAATAGTGTTAATATTTACATAAACAGAATTTGTAGTTAAACATTGTAAAGAAATTCTGAAATCAAGATTTTTAAAATCTAAACAAACAAGTTTACTTGAACAAAGATAATAAAAAAAACTTCGTGTAGAATTCTATCAGTCGTCTTGTATTTTCGACAATTTGATCAAAGAAATAACCAAACTAGTGTCATATGAACTGTGTGTTGGTTTGTTGTTACTATTGGTACCACTAAGACTTAACTATCTTAATAAAGTAGTGTCATTCAAATATGAAAATAACTCTAGTAAACATGCTTTTTAGTAGAACCCCGAGCATTACACTTCCTTTAGCATCTATAATAATGTCAAATTCGCTGTAATACGGATGCGAATAGTATACATTTTAGATATACAAATGTTTTGTAGTCAAATACTTCAACTTTGATTTATTTCATAAGATTGCTTCTGATGATTTTCAAACTATTTCATTACCTAAACAGAATTTTATATACATGCAGTAGCGATTCAAAATAATCATACAGCGCAAATAAAATGGTTTCCGCCATTTTACTATTTTCAATAGTGTTTGTGTTAATAATAGTTATCCATAAAATTAGACAAGTTATATTACTGACCAACTAATGTTATAAAAAAACTTCGATATTCCTTTTTATTTAGCGGCAGTGTGAAATAAAATTGCTTATGCTAAGTTTTTTCCGTGACAAAAATAGTCACTAATATCGTATGACATAAAAGTGAATACGGTGACTTTAGGTATTTTTCTGCCCTAATGAAGTATGATGCTTAATTTAAATTTCTATTTGAAATTTTTTCACCAGTAATTTCATATTAAGGCAAAGTCATCAAACCGTACAATGAAGTAGATCATCTAAAATGATCTCAATAAATTAACTGTTTAGTAATCGTAAATCAAACGGACGGAGATTATTCCCATGACTGATGATATTTTCAAGAAAACATTCATTACGAACATTCTAGAAATACCTCGTAGGTTATGATGAAAAGTGATCTATAACGAATAATGAAAATATCAATCATTGTGAATGTTAATGGACGCAAATATTTAACCAAGAACAGATTGTTGTACTTTTATGATTCGAAAAATGTAAACAAACAATTCTGTTGTCCCGAAATGCCAAGGCATGCCCTATATATATATATATATATATATATATATATATATATATATATATATATATATATATATATACCCACTACCAAGGAAGTCGTACTCACTGGTTTCTTAAGCGGTTGTTACATACGAAATTAAGAAGGCGAAAAGTGAATCTTCGGTTCTTAAACCGGGTTGAAGGGCTCGGAAGACCCACCTAGGAAAGTTGGGAAACCTTGACTGCAAAGCAGTAATGCATATGGGTCCCAAGATCCTGAGAGGACAGATGGATGTCCTAATGATGCTCCACTGCCTTATGGATTAGACATCTAGGTTAAAGGCTCTGAAGTGCCCCCCTCCTAATAAAACTGCCTACCTCGGTCTGGGCATCCAGGTGGTATCCCAACCCACACACAAATCGAAAGATGATCAGAAACGAAAAATGTTACTGTCAATTCAATCTTCACCCTCACAAATTATATTGGCAATAGCTTGATAGCATTCATTTATATTTTGTTCTGCGTTACCTGTCTTTTTCTTTTCTTTCCGACGTTGTATGATCACTGATACTCCAACTCAAACAGTAGGTCGCCTGCGGTAGAACTCATGTCTTACCTAAACGTTTGCAAGTCACTGATCGGTCGGAGTTTGAATACTAGCACTAGATGAGAATTTTGGATCAGCCTTTCTGAAACCGTTTATTTCTTTCGAATTAGCCTCCTAAACGTCTGAACACTGATGCAAATGGAACAACAGATGGGTTTGTCCATGTCTTCAAAAGTTTAAATTCAATGTATGCTATCTATCTCAAGCCCCCATTCAGGGCTTCATTGAATTAATACGAATTTGTTTTACATCAGTCGCTTTGGGAAGCTTGTATCACATGTGATTGTTCGAGAACCTTGTGAGGTCGTCTGGTTTTGCTGGCGTTGGTGTCAAACTGAGAGCTACATCTGAGATAGGACTAACCGATAGTACACTTTATTAAAGGTTGGTTACAAAGAAGACAAGTATTCTTGAATACGTTTACAAACATCATCAGACATTTGAACCTAAGTAAACACAAACAATGACATCTTTCAGCATTTTGAGTGTGATTTCCTCAATTCATAATAGGATAAATATAAGATCTATAGTTTGGTCTTGCATATTCAAAATTATATAAAAAGTTGATTAACACATTTAACTAAGGAAATTCACTATAAAAACAAAATAAAAGACCATAGTTTTAGAAAAAAAATTATGAAAACAATAGAGAGCGTTTCAATAAGAAATGAATATTCCATTCAAGTGAGCAGCCAATAAAAGAAACAGCTAAATGGTTTAACTGACAACGATTGTTTGCATGATTAACAAGGTTACGTACACAATACCAGTAACCTAATTCTTTCTTAACAAAATAATTCATTATTTAAAGGGTTATAAAACTAATCTAGTAAACATGGGTCACGAATAGCACTTCAATACTGATAGTGTTGGCAGACGCAGACTACCTGGTTGGGGTCTGCGTGACTATCGTAACCAATGGTTGGAGACTAGGTGACATGGTTCAGAATCGATCACAATGACGTAGGTGTATACACACTTTATCTTCCCTTAAACCTTAAGATTAAAATTGCTTCATAAAGTTCTTCCTTCCTATACTATATCCTTATATACTACCACCACTAAATTAACTACTTCTATGAATCCGGTGTTCATCTTGTTGTGCTAACGAGATATGGCAACTTGGAACTATGCATATGTGTGCCTGGTCCTTTGTTGTAGCTGACAGACTGAGCGTTTAAAAGAATGAACATATCGAATTATTGCATTTTCACTGGGAAATATTCAAAAACTATTTAGTATTGCTATATAAAAATATACCATATTTTGTGACTACATTACAAATAGTTATTGTGGCTGAAATCAGTCAGCCTGATTATAAACCAACAACAATTTCTGGTTTTTTATAGCTAATAATATGATCAAGTGTCGAATCAATTAATTAAGGGGAAGCAATCTACATCTGAATTAATGATTTCATTCTTTTGGATGATGAATCTGCAATTATTTTAAAACAGCTAATTGATTTCGCTGTGTGAGTAAATCGAATACTCTGGAGAGAGTTGGTTAGGAAGCTATATTTTAGTGTAGGAAGGATTGATAAATTTTATAATTATACATCACTGGCAAATGAATTACTGATTCGCTTCCCATAAGACTAAAATGACGTCGAAACCTGATCACATAGGCATGATTAATTAGGTGTTTACTTACATACGCCAAAAACTGTTTGCGAAATCGGTGGAATATGAATTTGATCTAAATTATGGTGAAATTAGCAGTGTTTATAAAAATTGATTCCACTGATTAACATATACGAAAACTGTGGATGCTAAACGTGTTTTCCTAACATCGCATTATGTTTATCAGCTAATTTACAACAAGTGGATAATAGTATCAGTATACTATACGAAAATGTGAATAAAAAGAAACCTAAAACGAATAAACTCCACACCAATAACCAGAATTAGGCGTGTTACAACAACTTTCGGAAATGATTAACAAAAAGAAAACTCCATTTACAATTAAATGACCACATATAAGATACAATCAATAATCAATTTAGGGTGTCATTCAAACAATCACAGGGTCAATTAATTGTGTTGTTTCATGTAAAACACTAAACAGAATTAGATGAAATGTGATTTGTTTTGCCCTAATTGTTTGTCACACTGTTCACAGATTTACATCCAACAATTGATAAGAAGACTCAACAAAATAGTATATTGTGTAACGAATGTTAGTGTTTAGGTTTATTTACTCATGAAAAATTGGAAATCTCATTTGTATGACTAAATGTCTTCCTGATCCTCACCACTGTGAGATGTGGGTTGCACTACTCCCAAACACGTAACAGTTCATATTGGTGAGGTTACTTACTTGATTACTTCCTTACGCTTGTTACTCCCAATGGAGCATAGACAGCAGACCAGTATTCTCCAACACACTCTGTCCTGTGCCTTCCTTTCTTCTTCTTCTTCTTCTTCTACCTCATTGTTGTTCATTCTTCTCAGATCTGTCTCCATTTCTCCACGTAATGTGTGATTACAATTCAATTAATTGGTGGTGTGAATGCAATCAAGTTATTCACGTGACTTCCTCTCATTTAATTTTGTGTGTCTGTCTTAAATTCGGTACACCAGAAGATGGTTTTCCGAACTGTCGAGTTGAAATCAATTCAACGTAACTCAACCAAAAGCGTGGCAATCGACATTCTACATGACACGCACTACTTACTGAAACCTATTGACCGATTTGGAAATACCGTCGAATACCAGATAAGTTCGGTTTGGTCACTCACATTTCAGGATGTTTCGTATCAAACGATTTAAACATCGGAACCTCGATTGTGTGCTATCTGATTGGTTCAGTGATAAGGTATCTCAATATAGTATTCCTAATTATCTAAGAGCTTCACAACAGTCTCGACGATTTTTGACAAACGGATACACATGGATGAACCTGCACACAAATGGACTACGTCTCCACAACTCCTCAATCAACCCCTTCACTTTCCACACTAACCAACAATAGTCGAGAGGTGATCAGGGACTAGAGTGAAGGTGAATTTCATGCAGTTTTGACTGGGAGCTTTCAACAGTACAATCAGATGAGTTGTGTAGGAAATAGTTGTTTGACAATACTACCTGACACCAATTGCATTATATTGTAATTGAACGAAAGTCGGAAAATAGTTGACTCCACTATATCATCCTCGTGGATAAACACAATCTTCGTAGGTATGTACTGTTGAAGAATGCTAAAGTTTGATAAAATCTTTGTATAGTATTCCCTTGTTTTCTTTAGCTCTTCATCTGATTTCCATCTGTGAAAAATTATTCACTCGATCACAAGCATTTGAGGGTATACACACATTAATCAGATAATTGTTTCTCTTTTCATGTAGAAAATCATGAGTGTTAAGAATTCATGTAATTCGTGTATCAGTGTAACCATCATCATCATAATGGTGAAAGGCATACTTATCATGTGTCCTTTGCATTTGAATGACATTACGGTTATTCGACAAACTAATCAACATTTCTGTGAAAATAAACTTATTGTCATAACATAGACAAGAATGGTGTAGTGTATCATTGAATGATATTTTTAATGTGAAGTGCTATGTGATATGCATGAAACAGCTATATAGTAAGAAACGAGATTTGATATAATCACTCACAAGTAATGAAGTAGAGAGTGAATAGTTTTTTTTTTTTGTAACCACTTAACAGATGTTTTTAATAACTATCATTTGGAGAGCTTAGTTTTGTTACACTGTAATAGTTTCTTGTAGCCAAACTAAGGTAGAGATGATCATGTGAATTTGTACAATGAAAATTAATTGTACTAATATGACATGAGCGATTTAAATGATCGTAACTATATATGTGAATATTTGGTTTTTAATTGCACAGCAGGGATTTATATAAATATAATATGTATAGACTTGAAAATGATTGTTTCACATTAAGTTAGTATTTTATTCAAGATTTATGCACCTTTTGTACCATAAATTAATTCTTGTACAAAAGGAAGGTTTGAATTTTCCTTAAATACTTTGCATTATATTATCATCCAACGTATCAATAAACTATGAATAGTAATGAACAGTAGTAATTTAAAACAAAAGGAAATTTTTTTCCTGAACCGCAAAACTGGGTTTTTATTTTTTATTTAAAAAGAAATGATACAAAAAGAGAAATATCGAAATAGTGATTATACAGTTAACAAACAGTAAAAGAAACTTTAACGTACAATATATTTTGTTAGACAAGTAGAGGTGTTGTTTGTTTTTTGGAATTAGTACTGAAATCTTACAATATACGAGGGAACATTTAAAGAATTGAAGAAATTAACCATACATAAGGAAATGAAAATATATTAAGAAGTTGATTACTTGAATGGTTAATTTCTAACTTGAAAATTTGTTATATTATACAAATTAATGACCACCGAAAATTTTCAATGCAATGTCACAACAACGAATAACAATGAAAAATGTGTAAATGTGAATGTCTCATTCTGGTGGTGTATATTACACAAAAGTGAAAATGTGCTCCATTTACTATTTAGTAATAACAATATGTACACATCAATTCATAGTAATGTAAGTAGATCAAGTTTTTCCCACTGGATAAGCTGTGATAGGTTGCTGTAACAATTTAAAAAAGAAAAGAAAGATGAGAAGCAAAAAAACAGGTTTGTTGTATACTAAAATGATTAAATCATGGGTAACTTCCGGAAACTATAAATAGACTGTAATATATATATATATATATATATATATATATATATAACAGTCTATCGGCTATTATTATACAATTTACTATTCTCAAGTTATTCTCAATCTATCAATTACAGTCTTACACACTCAAAACCTCTTTTGGCTTGATCTTGTATAATTTTTATTTGATGGTGTGATGCGGTCTGATTTACTTGTACATAGACTACGCATGTGATCCATATGATCCATACAGTGGAAGTTGAGATTGTGTTCTGGACTCAAACGAGTAGGGCTAAGCAAGAAAAACAGATAAGGACTCAGAGTTGACACAACGCTGTTAGTGCTATTTTAACGTGTTTAGCATAGGGACAAGGTTATATAAGTTGGTATGTTGATTGGCAATTTCGGTCACGTGATGATTGACAAGGCAAAAGTAATAACACGGTTAAGGAGTAGACATTTTACTAAATCGTTTTCAGATTATTTAATATTTAATAATAATAACAATTAATAGAGGCAAGTAAATCTTACAGTTTGAAGTTGAAATTTGTCAAAAATTTCAGCCAATTCATGAATATGATACTCGGATAGGATAATGAATGTTTTTAAAGTAGAATCCATACGACGTGCACAATCTAAACATCTAACAACCAATTTTTTATCTTGAGATAAAACGAATAAAATGTTGAATACTTCAATCTGAAAGGAAAACAATAATAATAATAATAATAATACCAATAACCTAATGTCAATATAATATATTTGACGGTAATCATAACAATCAATTAGTTTAGTATAATTTGTGAAGGTTACTTAAGAAAAAAAGAGAAATTAGTATAAAAAACCGAATCTTTTTTTGTTTTTGTTTTTTACTCAAATAATTCGACACTGGTTATGTACTCGTTTGAACGTTTATGAATAAATAAAAGAAGAAAACTAGTGAATATTCAATAGGGTCCATTGAAATGAAATTAATTATTTACATGATTTTAATGAATTCATTTAAACAAGAAATTATGAACCATTAAGAGTATGATAATCAAGTAGAATTATTATGAAATTTATACTAAATTGCTGAACATTTTCGGATTCATACTCTAATTATAAGCTTTATGTTAATCTATAGGCTATTATTATACGATTTACCATTCTTAAATTATGATCCGTTTATTAATTACAGTCTTCCATAATCACAGCCTTTTTTGGCTAGATTTTGTACAAATGTTATTTTCTATTTTATGCTATGATGTGGTCTGATTAGCTTGTGTATAAACCCAGTATGTTTGAAATATGATTCATACCGTGGAGGCTGCGATTGGTGCTCTGGACTTAACCAAAAGGGAAAAGGGCTAATCGGGACTCTAGGTCGTTCGCTCACGTGTATGCATCTTTTGTTCGTCGTATAAGTCCGTGTATCTAAATTCGGCAATCGTATAAGCTAAGGACATAACAAGCTTTGATGGTTTTCATTATAAAAACAAAACAAAACCATTAAGCTAATAAATTTCATTTTGAGAAAATAATCAGTTATTGTTTAGCTAATACATTTTATGCACAAAACTTATTAAGTGAAGTGTCAATAAAGTTTTCTTGGAGAGATCAAAGAGTTAGCTTTAACTCTACAATGTGTTAGTTATATATTGTCTTTCTAATAACCTCAAACCATAGGCTTAATAGTAATTAGTTTGTAAAAACGAATATTTTATGCAATTCTGTATTAAGTGTAGAACACAACAAAACAAGGGATAAGTAAACTGAATGGAATGAAATAAAATAAATGGACGAAATTCCACTGAATTTATGAAAATGTAAAGAATTAATTTGAATTCCAAATTATAATATAATAATAATAATAATTTGTTAAACAATATAATCTTCAGATAGCAAGTGTTCCATTACATTACGTATTATTTACCAAATACAATTCAATGTGTACCATAATTATTGAATGAAATACACAGCAGAAATGAATGATGAAAAATGACACTTTGAAACAATCTGATCAAACTAGAAACCATTAATTTGAGTTGTATTTAGCTTTCATATTGAATAGTTACATGAATAGAAATATTCTGTTTGTGAACGAAAACACCTATTACTTAATGCTTTCAATACAAAGTGTACAGTATTATCTTTTTTTTATTAGACTACTATATTAACTTCTCTAGTAAGTTGGTAAGAAATAAATTAATCTATCAACTCTTCAAAAAACTTTATATTTAGCAAAATATTATGGGATAATAAATCAAAAACAATTTCGCTAACCTCACAATCATGACAGGAATGAGCAATATCATCAGGTCTTTTTCCGTGATGTTTAATAGTTAAATTCATCTTCTCCAAAAAATCAGTAGTCAACTGAGATTGAATAAAACTACGAAGTAATGTATGCCTGAAAGTAGGATAATTAATATCTAAAAAATGTAGTTTTATCGATAAAGGAAGTAAATAATAATCAAAACTAGACAATCTTGGCTAGAGTGAACAGTAATGGATAACTATATGAATTGGGAAACCCGTCAAACTAAGGTGCACTAAAAATCTATGAGGTGATCCAGTGAATATAACACGTAGAAAACTTAGCTACTATTTACAAGACTGTATAGACTATATTAAAGACAGATGATAATCAATTCAAGCAACACAGGTTTATCCCCACGACATGTAATAAATATAAGAATTTTATTGTTTTGTAAGCCTCTTGTTGATCCTAATACTTTTTTCACGGCTGACTTTAGTTTCACGTTAATGTCATTGGCTGTTTATTGTATTGTTTGGAAGTCATAAAGTTCTACATTTATATCCTAGTGAATATAATTTAACAACTTCTTAGACGTACTTTATGTCAATGAGACTATAATGGTAAATTGAAGAAATTTCTACATTGATCCTCATTAAAAAAAGGCAATAAGATAGAAATACAAATTGTGTTTAATCAATCTTTCATTGATGCTTACAACAGACGCATAAACTTCAAAAATGAGAAAAAAAGTAATTCAAAGGATTAAGTTTTCTCTCTATACATTTAGTTTAACGTTAGCTGAAGCTTCATTATTTATATAACTTATTTAAAAAAGACGTTATGCACTGAACCTACATCACTAACATGAAGAAAATACCTACAGCCTCTAGAACTAAATAAAGCATGGAATATTAACGTACAAAAAGATTAATAGTACACATAATTACTTGATTAATTCAAACAATCCCGGATCTGATATTTTTATATTTTTAGCCAACTGCCAACTAAGATGTGTCATAGGTACAACAGATTTAACCCCACGTAAACGGTTGAATTCATAACGTTCAACGGCTAGTTGATATTGTCGAGCAGTCATACAGCCAACATTCCATGCTATATTGTTACACCAACCAATAGCTTGTACCCAATGAACTGTACCTGCATTGATCCATACCAAATCTCCAGGTCTTTGAATGAACCTGTAAACTGGTATCTCTTCCTTGTACAATGTTTCTAGATCTGGCCACCAAGAACCAGTTAGATAATCAACCTGACCATACAATTTAAAATAATAATCAGTTTAAATTATTATTGATATGACAGGCCAATTTCATAATTCAACAAGTGCAATTTCCAGATCAGATAAAAAATAATACCGCTATTAAATATACCCTATAATCAAGTTAACACAGATCTAATCAAAGAAATAAAAGTGAGTCAACATTTCTTCGACTCTTTTGATTTCACTTCAATAGTATATCGCTTTAAATGGGCTTACTTGAAACAGCTAAGTGAAGGAGATATAAAAAGATGACAGACATAAAACGACAAACAGTATTTTTCTGAATGTCTTGTGGCTAATACAATTACTTGGATATTTTTTATGATATAGACTATTCTGCTATTTGTGAAGAAAATAAAAATTGATTTATAAAACATCATCATGAAAACTATAAACTACACAAACGTCTAATAAGTATCTTCCAATACGAACAAATTTTCAACCTTACAGAAATCTTACTGAATCAACACTTACAGAACAAATAAAAGTATAATTTACAACTTTCCAACAGAGCCTACGACAATAATTTTTTTTAATTACAGTACGGAAATAGTTAATCGAGAGAAATAGGGGGATTAAAACCACTATTAAGGATATCAGTATATGGAGAAAAAGATTGGAAAAGATACATTTAAAAGAAATGTAAATAATTTTTGTATCTCCATTATTCTAATCCACATCATATAATAATATTACCTAAAGTTTTTGACGATTATTTCCTAAAATTATCCAAAATATAATGTCTTTAGTTTAAAGATAATTCTAGTAAATAATCAGTGAAATTAAAGCTCACATTATTCTTTTCACATAAATTATGAATAGCTCCCCAATATTGCTCCGGTACGGAAAACCATTCACAATCACCTGGACCGATATTAATATTAACAGCACAGAAATTATTATTTTCTTGATGACCAGGAGTACGAGAACCAGGGACCTGAAATGGTTTAAAAAGAATCGTTTGCTTAGTTTTCAGTTGTAAAAATAAAAATCGCTTACACCAACTTCTCCACCAACACCATCATCATGATGGTAAAGCTGAGCATAAGAGGTAGTTCACTTACTCACTTTAAAATCGAGATTTTTTAATCTTTACAATGAAAATACCATTTGGTGACTTCAAGTGTGAAAAACAAGCTCTTAAAATTTAAGAACAGTAAAGAAATTAGTGACTGTAAAGTATGGGAAAAACATGGGAACACAGAAGCCAGAAACCTGTAGAAAAGACGGTAAGAACAACGTAGTTTCATCAAATGATGCAAGCAAACTTGTAGTACCCAGGATCACAACCGAACTGAGCATACTTTAGGATTAATTAGTGGTTGGCTGGAAAATGTGGATCATCAATGACCGCGATTGAATAAGGTAGTCAATATGGAGGGAGAACAGCCGTATATAGTTTGCCGAGATAGTTAACTTAAAAACAATAACTTCATGTTCCAAATGAAAACTCAACAGTTACCACTCAATTAAGGAAGCTTGTGAGTATCGTTGAATTTACTGGGATAATGCATCCGAAGTTGGTTAAAGTCAAAAAGAGGGTCTTGGTTTCCCTGATATATACGGAAATATACAAAAGATCAAATGCCTCTACAACAAATAATTGTTAACGTGATTCAAAACTCAAAATTAAGATAATAAACTCTACAACAACAACAATCAATTCTCAACGCAGTCAGTCACACAAATTACTGCTCAATTAAATTGTGTCAATTTAATAAGTAAACAATTTATGGACAGCTAGTTTAACGGATAAAGTACAAGAAAAGGAAAAAAATTCTATTTACTCATGAGTAGTGTAATTATAATAATACGAGGATCAAAAATAATATTTGATTTTGAAGATTTAAAAGCATTTGGATTGTAAGTACACTGATTGCTTATTTAAATCTTTTGATACTTAGAAAGTTAATCATTATCCAAAAAAACTAATATACGCGAGAAATGACAACACCATGAATAAAAGATTCAAACAATCAATCCCAGAGTGAACATTAACTCTGGGGTCCAGGTACATCCAGCCGACGAGTTTCATATATAACGAAACGCGCCTCGTAGATTCACTACTAGCTACCATCCATCTCTACTTATAATCAGCATCATTTTAATTTTATGTATGATCAATAGATAATATACTTCACAATCTTAAGAGCTTTGTACGGACCAACTCGCATTTGTATGCAAGCATCTTCACATACGAAATCCAATAAATTAAAATTAAGGTATTGGCTAATAGCAAAGTGCTCAAGTAAGGACCTCACCATCCTGATGGGAGATCTAAATGCTAAAGTTGGAGTGGACAACACAGGATATGAAGATATAATCGGACGACACGGACTAGGAGAAAGAAATGAAAATGGGGAGAGACTTGCAAACCTATGTGCTTTCAACAAATTGGTTATAGGCGGCACAATATTCCCACACAAACGCATACACAAAGCTACATGGAACTCACCGGACCATACCACAGAGAACCAGATAGATCACATCTGTATCAACAAAAAATTCCAAAGATCAATGGAAGATGTAAGAACCCGGAGAGGAGCTGACATAGCTTCAGATCACCACCTGGTTGTGGCCAAGATGAGACTGAAGCTTAAGAAAGACTGGACAACTGGACAAACAGCACTACAAATGTTTAATACAGCCTTCCTTCGAGATGCTGACAAGCTCCAAGAATTCAAGATAACTCTCAACAATAGGTTCCAAGCTCTACAGGATCTACTGAAAGAACAAGAAACTACTTTGGAGGACAACTGGAAAGGGATCAAAGAAGCACTAACTTCAACGTGTCAGGAGGTTCTTGGTCCTAAGAAGCATCATCACAAGGAATGGATCTCTATGGGAACCCTCAACAAGATTCAAAAAAGGAAGAACAAGAAACTAGCAATTAACAACAGCCGAACACGAGCAGAGAAAGTCAAAGCACAAGCAGACTACGCAGAAGCAAACAGAGAAGTGAAGAAAAGCATTAAAGCCGACAAGCAGAAATACATGGGAGAACTAGCAACGGCGGCGGAGAAAGCTGCAAGAAAAGGGAATATGATACAACTATATGATACAACGAAGAAATGGGCGGGGAGATATAGTAGACAAGAAACACCAGTCAAGGACAAAGAAGGAAAGACAATCACTGAGATTCAAGAACAGAGGAAAAGATGGGCAGAATACTTCGAGGAACTGCTGAATAGACCAGCCCCATTGAATCCACCGAACATCGAAGCAGCCCACACTGACCCTCCAACAGATATCACTCCACCAACGATCGAAGAAGTCAAGATGGCCATCAGACAAATCAAAAGTGGGAAGGCGGCGGGACCTGACAATATACCAGCAGAAGCTCTGAAGTCAGACATTGAAATAACTGCAAACATGCTTCACCTTCTATTCAAGAAGATTTGGGAAGAGGAACAAGTGCCAACGGACTGGAAAGAAGGATATCTCATCAAGATACCAAAGAAAGGAGATCTGAGCAAATGTAAAAACTACAGAGGCATCAGTTTGTTATCAGTACCAGGAAAAGTTTTCAACAGAGTGCTGCTGAATCGGATGAAAGACGCAGTAGACGCCGAACTAAGGGATCATAAGGCTGGATTCCGTAATGATCGGTCGTGCACAGACCAGATTGCGACACTACGGATCATCGTTGAACAATCAGTTGAGTGGAACTCATCACTATACGTCAACTTTATTGATTACGAGAAGTCGTTTGACAGCGTGGATAGGAGAACACTGTGGAAACTTCTTCGACACTATGGAGTTCCTCAGAAGATCGTCAACATTATCCAAAACTCATACGATGGATTACAGTGCAAAGTGGTGCATGGAGGACAGCTGACAGGTGCATTTCCAGTAAGGACCGGAGTCAGACAAGGCTGTCTACTCTCCCCATTCCTCTTCCTTCTAGTGATTGACTGGATTATGAAGAATTCGACATCTGAAGGGAAATACGGAATACAATGGACAGCTTAGAATCAATTAGATGATTTGGACTTCGCAGATGACCTAGCCCTCCTCTCTCATACACACGACCAAATGCAGATGAAGACAGCAAATGTAGCAGCAGCCTCCGCATCGATAGGTCTCCACATTCACAAAGGAAAAAGCAAGATTCTCAAATGCAACACGGAGAACACCAACCCAATCACACTTGACGGCGAAACTCTGGAAGATGTGGAAACATTCAAGTACCTGGGGAGCATCGTTGATAAACAAGGAGGATCGGATGCAGATGTAAAGGCGAGGGTTGGCAAAGCAAGGGCAGCATTTCTACAATTGAAGAACATATGGAACTCAAAACAACTCTCAACTAATTTCAAGGTTAGAATCTTCAATACGAACGTCAAGACAGTCCTACTATATGGAGCTGAAACGTGGAGAACTACTACGACCATCATCAGGAAGGTACAAGTATTTATAAACAGTTGTCTACGCAAAATACTCAACATCCACTGGCCGGATACTATCAGCAACAGCGTTCTATGGGAGAGGACAAACCAGCTTCCAGCTGAAGAGGAAATTAGGAAAAGACGTTGGAAGTGGATCGGACATACATTAAGGAAATCACCAATGTGCATCACGACTCAATCCCTAACTTGGAATCCGGAGGGGAAGCGGAAAAGAGGAAGGCCAAAGAACACACTACGCCGGGAAATAGAAGCCGATATGAAAAGGCTGAATAGTAACTGGAAAGAACTGGAAAGGAAGGCTCAGGACAGAGTTGAATGGAGAATGCTGGTGAGCGGTCTATGCTCCTCGACGAGGGGTAACAGGCGTAAGTAAGTAAGTAATTGGCTAATAGGTCCAGACAGAACCAACGTTACGTATATTGATAGGTTCAACTATTCCTGATCAAAATGCAGAGTTTCGCTTATCATGATAAAGTGGGACGATTAACGCTGACGACATTGCCAGTAGATCATAATTTCATTATTGTGGCACATTAGTATTGTAATCGAAAATCATTTGGAATTTTGTATGTGAAATCCGACTAACTTACAATTTACGTTCATGAGACATTTAACAAAAATGTTTCTGTACCACTGTTTTACCCAGATATAACTGTCTAATTATATCATGATTACATAGATCTAGTGGATGAATATCCCAGGTAAGATGAAAACAGCAGTCGTAACTGGCAAATATCCGAAAACAAATTCGTCGCATCCAAGTAACTAGCGACAAATAACCTGGTTTTAACTAAATAATCTGTTATAAAGACACCATATTTACCAATCAATTTGTGAAAAAGCTGAGGAATAGAAGACACCTTTTGAGTCGATACCAGTTTATCTCATCAATAAATGACATATAGGGTCCTACAGATAATGGCACTCAATTGTTTGAAATATCAATACTCTCATACCTAGCGTGATTTTATGCATACTAATTCCATGCAGTAGTTTCGTTGAAATGTAATGTAATTCAACCTCATTTTCGCTTGAATTGTGACTGATATTATTGTTACTAAACTTATTAGTGATAGTAATTGTTGTTGATGTACCAGTGTTATGTTAAGTACCTTTCACGAAAACATACTTTTTATTTTTATATAGAACTAAGTCTTTACATATTTACTAATGAATCAATAAAAAGATTTTTCTTACTTTCAAATAAAGTTGAACAGTATTCAATCCTAAAAGTGGATAGCCCACATGACTAAGCATGTTGAAAGCACTTACAACTCGAACAAATATAGGCAATTTAGTAAGTTCATGAAGTTGAGGTAACCATTTTTTCTGATCTGAAAGATCACAATTTGTTCCAAAACGTATTAATTTTAATCGTCCACTATTCTGTTGATTTGATAATGAATTATTTTCATCCCCAGATAATTTACTTCCCACAGGATGAGGTTGATTAACGCTAGTAAGATTTTGTAGGAAAAACAAACAGGATAAAAGTAAATTTTTTTTAAAAAAAATTAATAAACAGATAACATATACTCAAATGGTTAACCTGTAGATCAAGCATAAGTCAATAATGAAATATACTTTCATTTATTTATTTAACGTCTATTCCTTACATAAAACTTTGTAACTGTTTTTCTATGTCACTAATTAATTTTCTGAAATTGGATCAGTCAAATAAACCAACAACAAAAAATAATAAAGAGATGGATAGTGGCTAGCAGTGGAATCCAGGACGAGCGTTTCGTCCTATTTGGGACTCGTCAGCTGGATGTACCTGAAGCGAGGGTACTTGGTTCGAGTCCCAGAATGGACATCAACTCTGAGATGCAGGTACATCCAGCTGACGAGTCCCAAATAGGACGAAACGCGCGTCCTCCATTCCACTGCTAGCCACTATCCATCTTCGCTCACCATGCTTGTGAATTAAGGTATATCGAGGCAATACGCACAGTATGCACATATGCCAATTAGAGACTGACCAGTTGCAGTCCTAACAAATCGATGGGAAGATTCAAACAAACAATACTAAGTTGAATTTAAAAAATAATAAATATAATGAAATACAACCGCTAAATATTCAAGTGAAATGGAAAATATACTGACAACAGTTTAATGGAGAATTCATTATAACTTAGAAAAAAGTGACAACGCTTATAGAGATGCGGGATAAAACAGTTCCCTGATATTCTGTAGCCTACATTTCATTCAAAATAAGAAGAATATACGAAAGTAGCTAGTTGAAGTAAAAGATTTAATAACTTTATCACATTAAATTATTATTAAAAACAACACATGAAACATTCTACATGTTACATAACGCTCTGATGCATATAGTTTGAGTTAGCAATGTTCAATATGTTAAAATCCATCTACAATTATTCGGACAAATAATTGAAAAAGTATCAAATTAAATCATTAAAACACTTACCTTAATTCTGAATTTGTAGATTCGCTAGACCAATGAGTAGAATTTTTCCGTCCACTTCCCGTTACAGCTAATCGATGGGAAATAGAGACAATGAATAAAGTAAGCTGGCTATAATAATATACCATAAAAAAATTCAAAAAACTTATATTGAATGTTAAATATCCCAAGCATGACATTGAAAATAATTACGGTAATAATGATAACTCGCAGAATCATATGGACACTTTATTATACCATATCCTGAGGTATAACGTACAGTCTTTACCTACGAAGACATAAGTAAACCAAACAACAGACATAGTTTCACGAGGATTGTCTCCGCACATTCAAATAAACACATACTCTACCACTATTAAGAGTGATCTGTAACAGCACTATGCTAAAGAAACCAAACTAGCAGATGTTCAAACGCTTACAAAAGTGATCTATTACCTATTATGAAACGACTCTATCAAGAAAATAATTATAAAACGGGGTGAAATTCTTACGAAGAATATTTTATCAATTGTATTATTTTATTTCACAACTTTTTGATCTTGAATCTTGTCAACTAATAAAGTACTACCGCCATGGTACGATTTTCCAACATAACCAATTAGTTGACACGAATAAAACCTTTAACATAGAGGATACAAAGAGAGCTTAAATTAAAACTGGTATTCTGTTTCTATTCAAAAACATAATTTATATCAATTAGGAAATTTCACACTTGTCATACTATTTGATAAGTTACCAGTAGACGATTTTGTGTCCACTGATATAGCGGATATTGTGTTAGATGTTGGAGTCGAAGTAACTGGTGCACTGCCGGAAAAATTCACAATTTTCTCTTCTTTCATTGCTTCAATAAATGAAGCAGCTTGATAAGCACCATATTTAGCGATTGTTGTGGTAGTTTTCGGTGATTCACAAAGCCATACAGTACGTCCTTGCGAATCAAGGTTCTGATCAGGCGATTGAAGACGTTGGGTTCGTACCTGGGTATATGTATATAAATTTATAAGTAGTGCAGTTGAAAAATGTGGGAGTATTGTTCATGTAAAAGTGAAAACAAGATCCTTTCAAAATAAAAAAGCGTCAACTTAAAAGTCACTTTTTGAATAAAAGTAATTTGCTATTTCAAATGCTTAAAAACTAATGGTGTAGAGTTCTTGGCCATAATAGTATCAAGTCTTTTAGATAAACCGACTTCAGAGATGTTATCTTGTTGAAATCAATGCACTATAAAAAGCTTTATCATGTAACAAAAATAATAACTATTTGACAGTTGAAAGCAACAAATAATCTAGAGTGAGGGATTGTGGATTCGCACGGCTGTGGAGTCCCACACTAGGAAGGAATGATTGTACAGTGCTTCGGGGTTTTCAATGGTGATTTAACATTAATCCACTCATGATCTCAATCAAAACTCAACAATCTCCATAAACCTATACTGATAACAAATAATAAATTCGAAGGAACACCACCAGATGTTTATTTAAACAATCTAAATAAACTTTAAGAATTCAATATACTAGTCAGTGAGTTTTGTACTTTATAGCTGTGTAACCAGGTGGATAAAAACCAATAAATAGTTATTGGCACCAATAATAACGAAGAACTAATGTTCATCGTACATATCGTAGCTAAGATGTTGAGTAACTGATTACCCCAAGTATAAAAAAGTGGTTAATTGTTTCTAGTGAAATTAATTAGAATACCCTAATAAAATCCATATTCGTAACAATTCATCTCAACAATAGATCAACACAAATTGCCATAATAGACAAGAACGTGATTAATAATCGGTTAGAAAAGAATGTTTGCAAATGAAAAAGGAGAAATAAACTAATTTCTTAGAACTAAATTAAATGAGGTTATTTTCTGAGAAGGTTAAACAAAAGTAACTACATTCATAGTTAATTAATCAAAACTGAGCGGCTGAATTACAATAAGCACTAACATAAATGCCACCAACTTACTTCAACTCGATGTTCTGGGTTGGATTCAACCAATGATTTAGTAGAAAATAAACCTAAATCCAGGCGCAAAGCAGCAGCCAAACCACGTATTACAACTACTGGTTGTGTGAAACAGTAGCGCATTAATTCAGGTGAATGAGCATCATTGCGATTTTCCAAATAAACACTTGGTGTGGGAGGCAGCAACTTATCTTTAGGGGGCGGTGGATACGGCTTTGCAGGAGGTTTCGGGATAGGACTACCTTCCGGTAGTAAGCCAGGCCACCAAGGTCCACCTGAATGACCAAGGCCACGAAGTGAAGATAGGATCTAAAATAAACATCATCTTAATTAGAGAATGAGGATAAACAATGAAATTATTCGGAGCACAGCAAATTATTATGTAAGTTTTATACATGTTTCTATTAAGTTGTACATGCTTTTTTATATAATCACCAGGTTTACTTATACTTCAGTAGAATAAATCCACTTAAGTAGGTGGACATTTTTCTATTCTCAAGCACTGGTGCTATATAACAACTACCGTAGGTTTCGAAGTTAAGGCATTCCTATTCGTAATGTTACTTCTTGCAGCCGCTGGCAGCAAGAAGTCTGATGTGAGTGAAACAATATACGAGGTTGATGGGATGCCAATCACTAACATCTCTCGACGTCTTGGACGATGGGCGGAATTTTTCGAAGGGCAGTTCAACTGGCCTGCTGCTCCGGCAACATCAACCAGTTTGTCCTGCCCCCCATGGCCGGTGACGACTGATCCACCAAACGAGGCTGAAGTCACCAAGGAACTCCAACTCTTGAAGCGCTACAAATCACCGGGCTCAGATGACCTACCTCCGGCTCTTTTTAAAGATGATGGTGACTTTCTAGTTAAGGAACTGACGGTGTTGCTTGCAAAGGTTTGGGAGCAAGAAAGTGTTCCAACATCATGGAATGAGTCAATAGTCGTCCCTATCTTTAAAAAGGTTCACGTTGTTCCCGTGGCAACTATCACGGGATAAGTCTACTTCCGATTGCGTTCAAACCATTGGCTTCTGTCATTCTTCGTAGGTTGTTTAAAACCCGAGAACGATTGACTCGCAAGGAGCAGGCTGGTTTTCGTTCTGGTCGACGATGCATTGATCACATCTTCACCCTCCGCCAAATGTTAGAACACCGTCATACTTATCGCAGGCCAACAATCGTAGTGTTTCTTGATATCAGGGCTGCCTTCGATTCGTTGGACAGGACTGTTCTCTGGGATTGTCTATTGAAGAAGGGTGTGTCTGAGAGGTTTATTAACATCTTAAAAGCTCTATATGCAAACACTTTATGCAGAGTGAGGGCACACAACCACCTTTCTCCCTTGTTCCATTCAAGCAGTGGGGTTGCCCAATCTCACCATTCCTCTTCAACTTTGCCACCGATGACATTCTGGAAACAGCTCTGATGGATCTAAGTAATGGCGGTGTGATTCTGCTACCTGGAGAAAGACTTCTCGACCTTGAATATGCGGATGATATTGTCCTACTGTGCGATAATGCCCAAGCCATGCAATCCACACTTAATCAGTTGACAGTGTCTCCAGGTACGGTATGTGCTCTGCGACTTCGAAGTGCAAAGTACCTCTACAAGACTGGCAGGATTCTCATCTTGTACTCACTCTAGATGGTGGTCAGAGAGAAGTAGTTGAGAAGTTCGTGTATCTATGTAGCTACATAAGTGCTGGTGGTGGCGTGAGTGATGAGATTGATGCACGTATAATGAAAGCCAGAGCGGCTTATGTCAATCTGGGCCACCTTTCGCGCCTTCGTGATGTTAGTCTGACTGTAAAAGGTCGGATCTACAACGCGTCGGTGAGAGCAGTTTTGCTTTATGCTTGTGAAACCTTGCCTCTCCGAATTGAGGATATTAGACGTCTCCCTGTGTTCGATCATCGTTGTCTCCGAAGGATTGCTGACATCCAGTGGCAACACCATGTTAGTAATGCAGAAGTTCGGCATCGTGTGTTCGGGCTCGTTGACGATAAACCGATTGGTGTCACCATTTTGAAACATCGACTTCAGTGGCTTGGACATGTTCTACGAATGTCGTCCCCGAGAATTCCACGTCGTGCATTATTTACCGACGCTGGGACTGGTTGGAGAAAGCAGAGGTGGTCAGTGTATGATATGGTGTTGTGGTATGAAAGAAATCTGCAAAGGGCTGGCTTCTGTTTGTCCTTCACGACTCCCTGATTGGGGTCCGAGAGATGGTGCCACACAGTCGCTAGGGACATTATCAGATATGGCTTAGAATAGAAGCCAGTGGCGATCCTGCTGTAACCTTTTACTTTCTTCATAAAGAGTAGTCATAAATTCCTTAACTGAAAGAGATTTTCTGGTTGTATATTTCTGTTTCCCCCATTATTACTCTTATCATTAAACTAACATACACTCTGCGTTTCTTGTTGTCCCTTCTTTTTTTTTCTTTCTTCTTCTTTCTTATATGCACTGAACTCCTTTCCCCATTCTCATTGTTGTGTGGCGCATATATATCTGGTACCTCCTTGTACCAATATTTATGCGTTCAAATAAATAAACAAATGAATAAACGAATGATACTATTTGTTCATTAATACACTTCCATAAAAGTGATCTGACGTAATCAAATAGGATTAACTGGCTACATTTCTGCAATGTAACGTTCACAAGGAAAATCAAACGCCGTGAGCTACTTTACGTTATAAGTATGAACTGCAAGATATTTGTAACTTTGAAGTGTAGTTGAAAATGCCGGTCTGTTGTGTAGAGAAGGGCAAAGGCAAATAACTAACGTTTTAGACTAGAGAGAGTGGAATTCAATATACTGAGAATAATGATCAGATATTAGGTAACAAGAATGAAGTTATGCCACTTAAGTACGGTCTAAGAATCTAGTTTCATCAAAACATAGGCGATACTATAATCTAGGAATGACTTTAAGTGAACTTAAGAAATTTCATCCAATCAGGAAACAGCCGGCATAGAAGAATATATTATACAAAACCAAAATATTAGAGTGGATACACTTCTTTAACATGGTTTAAAATCTTTTCAAAGTTAGAAAGAGGCTCTACAGTCCCGAAATCATACAGTACAGGAGCTCATCCATGCCACTCCATAACAGTCGACCTCTGGAGCCATGATAACGCCTCGACCACATTGCTTCTATAATAATGGAGTGTACCCCTGCGGTGGGGTCTACGAAATGTAAATTGTGAACGATGATACGATACACGGAACCAAGTCTAGATAGGTATAGATATGCTCTGCAGTCGTCCGTGTATGTTGTGGTACCCCGTTGCACATACTCCCGTAAAATTGGTATCATCATATTAGCCTATCCGTTTCTCGCGTCCTAGAAGTGTCCCTTGTGAGATGGTTTATCATATATAACAAAGATGTGCTCAGTATAATTAAGGGATGTTACTTACGCAATCTTCCTTAACACTTCTTCCTCTATTGAAATTATGCTTTCTAGTGACTGTTTCTGCGACCTCCCGATTCCTCCAAACGACTGATCCAAGCTTGTTATTTTCATATCACATATATCTCTATCACTGAATTGCCGAAGCTTTAGTAACATCTGAAAAGGTTGCAGTCAGTGTTACTGGTGCTTTTATGATCCAGTTTACAACAATTATCGTAATCTGTCATGTTGTCAACCGGAACCGAGTGGAAAAATTCCGTGCTAGCAGAATTTTTCCTCCAACATATATTACATCGAAATAAAACATCGTCGCGATAGCTTGCACAATGTCCAGAGGTCATTTAAACACCAGTCGCAAATAAACGAACTACTCAGTAATCCCACCCGTTGTAGCCACTCAACTGTAACGTCCTACTTGAAATCCGCTGTAAATCTATCGTATGTGGGCACAGTGAACTGAAATAGGCCCCGTGACCTAGAAATTGATAGCTTGCTTCTGACTGACTCGTCCATAGATTATAGTCTCACCGATAAAGTATTCGAAGTTTCCGAGGTTCTGATTCATCAGTACTAAACATAAAGCTCAAACAGCACACCTGCAACCGAGAAAAATTTTTAATTTCGGGCTAAATTCACAGGTGAAGACCTTGATTCCCAAAAACAGCCACATATATCATACCTGAATTTGTAATACTTGAGTTATTTATCAACTAACGGTACAAGTGCTATTCAAATAATTGTTTAAAATAACAATGCGTATAGCGAATACCAATGAAAGATATTAAAACAAGCAGTAAGCAATACCTACAGTTTAGTTTTCTTACAAAATATGTAGATAGAAAATTAACAACAAATATAACACTGATGAACAATCTGTACTAGTATAAAATACCGACATCGGTTTAATATTTCATGTATGAACAAAAAACGTTAATGATTAGATTAAGAAATATGACGGCTATAGCTCACTTGAGAAGAAGACATATTGACATGCAAAGCTGCAGTGATACTAGTTGGTGGGTTTAGTGGTTTGGTTAAGTAAGCATGCAAATCTACAGGATCTGAAGATAAATTATTTGAATTGACAAGGGGGTCAATACCAAGTTCTTGAGTTAAGCAATTTTTCATGTCGATTTCATCCTTTTTGGCTGTATTTAAAGTAATCGTCTTTGATGGGTTAGTTGGAGTTGTAGAAGTCGGACCAGATGTAGAAGAATCGCCACATTTCGATTGACAAGATTTTTCATTTATTAAACCTTGGTTATTATCATTATTACTTGTAGGCCGCTGATCACCAGCACTAGAGCCAGTAGTAAACAGAGCTAACTCAACAAGATCCAATCCAGTAGCTGCTTCAGATCCATTTAACTGAGCGAGTAGGTCATCCGTCAAGAACCCTAAATCTTCTTCAGGTAAATTACCCGATCCAGGGCTATCAACAACAGCGGTTAAATCATCATCCTCGGTGGGAAACAAATCGACTGTATCTGCACCAGTTACACTGGATGAATTGCGGCCAGCACTAGAAATACCTGTCGTAACAGAAGTATCTCCGTGAAATGGTCCAGTCGAAGCGGAAGTTGAAACTGTCTCATCGGTAAAATCACTGCCCGATTTACATGTTTTCAATTGTTTCTGATTTTGTATAAGTTTGTAATGATGATATCTCAATGCTTGATTTTGCAAATTACTAAGAGTTTGACGTTGTGAGGCAGTTAGACAACTACCCTGAGCCTTAAAATTAGAAAAAAAAACCTAATTAACAGTACAAAGTGAAATCTTTTCGTACAGAGTTATGATCACCAATGATAAACAAAAATTTGGTCTCATGTGAACGTTCACACAAAAGAACTGTTAATGCTTCTGTCTTCATAATAGCATAAAACAGCTATGCACAAATAAACTATAACACGAAGTACCATGGGATGTTTTTAAAAGATTTGTGTACACTCCATGAACTATAATTCTACACGCGTTTTAAAACTCTTGGAATGTCACGTTCTTAAGCTGTACAGAGTGTTAGGAAAAAATAGGACTTAAACATGAGTTAAAGATATGTATAATACACAAAAAACAAATTTTCTTAATGATAAGTTGTGTTAGTGTAGTTTAGATGTGAGACAGAAACAGATTTTTAGAAAAAGTGTCGGAAATCCATCGAAAATGAAAACTACAACAAAAATTATTGGACCGAACTGATGTCTTTAACTAGGAATTTCAAAACAGATTAGGTTAGACATGACACCAATATATATCGGTCTATGTTACAACTCCATATATCAGTATAATTAAAATTATGCGAAGCAATAGAGAAGAAACAGCGATATCCACTGGAGTGGGAAGCTAAACACAAGAGATATGTCTTAAGACGAAAGAATCAGATCGAACAAAAAAAACGATGGAATGATAATAAATTCGGATATGGAAAAAGATTAAGAACAAATCTAAATATTTCACTGCGAGCGATTTTGCACCAACTTAAAAATAACTAAATCCAGAGCCAAACCTATGAGCAACGGTACGTTTTGTTGACAAGTCCCAACCGGCATGAAACCTGAGTTCATTGCTTCCTGCCGACTACTTAAAACCACTTTACATCAAACCATGAAACTATACTTGGTTACTGAGTTACACAAATAAAGCAAATACAATTTTTTTTCTGAAATTCATTTTGTGGTACATCAGCCAGAATTCAGAAGAAGAATGCTTAATCATTTGCAAAAATAATAAATTCCGATTTGCTATTATACCATCCAAAACTAGTAATAAGTACCCAGAATAGCATGCAGAATAGTCAAGGGATTGTTAAACATGCTAACTATGGTTTAGATGAGAAATATAACACATACAAAACAAAACCAACTAATTATAAATGTTTGCTTTTTAGAGCTTTGAACTGCGAACTGTCCAAAATATTCTGAATAAGGTAAACTGTTATTCGATGGAATAAAGATCCAAAAATACCCTGAATCAATGGGCTTTTCTAAGAACACATCTGAAATAAGGGATTGAAAATGTTCTGCATATATTCCGACGACAACTGTAGTGAGAGAAAATTTGTGATAAACCAAAATACTTCAAAATCAATATATGAATTTACCTGCAGGGAATGTAACAGTTGAAGTTGCTGATTGCTTAATGGTTGCACAGGTGTTGAAGAGGATGAATCACTATGACGAGATCTTTTGGATATAGACCCTCCACACTCATCACTTCCTTCAGTTTCATTTGGGCCTAAAATATGAAACAATATGGTGATATAGAATGAAGAATAGAAACAAAATGAATTAATAGTCCATGGAATACATTCCACAACAAAACATATCAAAGTTATAACCTAAATAACTATATTTAGGACGCTAAGATAGCATTATAAGCAAATACAACGAAATACTGAATGGATTTGGCAAAATAAATATCTTAAAAAACGTTTACAAAGTGAAATAGTTACCCAAAAAGGCAATGAATATCAGTTAACCACATGACACAAAAAACCAACCCATTAACGCGCCGAAAACTTGATGTTTAGTTTGTATCTTTTGTATATCTCCAGTGAATATTACAGCAAATTTAAAGATAAACTCAAAACTAATTACAGCATCCTATGAAAAATGATGTGCAAATGGGTATTTTCCAACTTTTATTGTAATAACAGAAATTTTGTAGTGGACTAAGAAGTCAAATGGAGGATACCAATTTATTAGTTACTACAAAGTACAAAATTTCTTCGTAAAATACGAAAACCATACATTAAATACTTCATTTGCACATCTTCCATCAAGTGTCTCTCACAAACTTTACCGTCCCTTCATTCCTGTTTTTATTAAGATTACTCTTTGTTTACTTTCCTTCTCTCTTCAATTCGATCTTCTCAATCTTTTGCTGCCAGGCATCCCATTTCCACTTAGTGTTACATGCTACTTATGTCTGTCGACTTAAGTAGCATACAGCACAAGTTGACAATTACATTTATAACTACATAAGAGCGTTGTTTACCTATCAAATAACTCCCGAATTTCCTAAAAAAAATTAACCACACTTTTGGTTATACTGAACACTAATCTTGATATATTGTTTTATTTTAGTCAAATGAATTCAGTTGAATAGACTAATCTATGATAATTTCAGCCATTATTGTACCCTCAAGTAATCGGGATTTGTTACCATGACAAAATATAGGTCAGCTTTCTTTGAAAGCGAACAAATGAATAGAAGTCAGTCAATTAGTCAGCTAAAACGTAGGACCAGGCACATTTATGCATCGGTCCAGGTTCCCATATCTCATTAGCACAACAAGATGAACACGAAATTCAAAGTAGTTAGTTTAATGGTGATGATATATAAAAGAAAGATTGTATATAAGGATATAGAACAGGAAGAAAGACAGAAATGAAGCAATTTTAATCTTACGGTTTAAATGAAGACAAACAGTGTATACACCCACGCCATTGTGATCAATTCTCATAAATGTCACACAGAATCACCAACCATTGGTTACAATAGTCACGCGGAACCCAACCAGGTAGTCTGCATCTACCAACATGGCTCAGACTAAAAGATAGTGACTTCAAGGACTAATGCCACAATTTGGTTTCGCCGCACTTAACTCTTTTCCAACCAACCCCAATACTAGTCAGCATTGAGCGTTGTGGTAATCAGTGTTCAGGCATACGTAACACGTGGCCCAACCATCTCAGTCGATGAAGATTCACGAACTCATCAACCGCTTTACCATCATTCCCTAATACCCTACGTTTAATCTCACTAATACTTACCTGGTGATCCAAGCAGATGCGAGCAATATTTCTAAGGCATCTGTGGTCAAATACTAGTAACTTACGAGCATCTTCTACTCTTAATGGCCATGTTTCACAGCCGTAAAGTAGGACAGAACGAACTGCTGAGCAGTATACTCGTCCCTTAATTGATATTTGGATATCTCGTCTTCATCATAGGTGACGTAAGTTGGCAAAAGCCGGACGAGGTTTTTGAATCCGTGCTGAAATTTTATAAGATTCCAATCCACTAGGGCTGATCAGACTTCCAAGATAAGTGAAGTTGTCCACGCGTTCGACTACTTCACTCCCTATCCTTAATTCAGGTGTTGACGCAGGCCAGTCCTGGAGCAACAATTTACATTTAAAGGGGGAAAATGCATCCCAAACATCCTAGCATTGTTACTCAGTGCTACCAAAACACTCTGCATTTTATCAGCATCTTCACTGAACAAGATTATGTCATCTGCGTATTTTAAGTCGATAAGTGGACCTCCTGGTAGGAGATCCATTCCCGAAAATTCAGTCGACGAGAGTATTATTTCCAACAGTAGGTCTATAATGAAGGTAAACAAAAATGGAGGTAGTGGATAACCTTGACGGACACCACTTGAGGTTGTAAAACCAGATGACAGTTCACCATAAGCTCTCACTCGACTGTTAGTGTTACAGTAAAAAACCTTCACTAGGTTTATGTACTTCTGAGGTACACCTTTCAATGACAGACACTGCCACAGAACATCTCAGTATACAGAGTCAAATGCTGCTTTTAGGTCGAGAAAAACTATCATTGTCTGACGCCGATATGTATTCCTGTGTTCTAAAACCTGACGAATAGTGAATATGTGGTCGATACAGCAACGACCACGTCTGAAGTCAGCCTGATTTTCTCGTGTTTGTGGTTCAAAAGTCTTAGTTAGGTGCCCGATAATTATTGAGGCTAGTATTTTAGATGTATATTAGTCAAACTAATCCCTCTATGGTTATCACAGTGTGATCTTGACCCTTTCTTATATATTGGGACAATCAGTGATTGTGACCAGTCGGATGGGATTACGTACAACTCCCAGATTTTAGCTAAAATATTAGTCAACCTAATCGTTAAAATTAGTCCACCATCCTTAAAGACATCTGGAGCCAATCTATCTGGACCAGCTGCTCTTCCTCGTTTCAGAATAACTATAGCCTCTCGAACTTCAGCTAGAATTGTCGGACCTACTTCAATGTTCCATTCAGACTGTCCGGGAATGGTGGGTAACTGTAGAGTAGCTGAAGGCCAGCTTAACTGTTCCCTAAAGTGTTCCGCCCATCGTTCCAAACATCTGGGCTGAGAGCAGATAATAGTTCCGTCTTTTTCCGAGGTTGTCACACTTACACTTGAATTTCTAGTTCCTCTTTCTTTAGTTATTCTGAGGAGCTCTCTGGTGTTGCCTGCAGTCGCTGCCTTTTCCATTTCGTTTGCTTTCGTTGCCCACCACTGCTCACGATCGTCCCGTAGACTTTGCGTTGACCTAGGTCTGATTTGCTTTCGCTCTTCATCGCGTTCAGAACCTGATGGGATGGGTTTACGTGAACCCATCAGTGCAATAAACTTGGAAGAAATCCATTGGTTTTTTGCAACCCTTCGGTTTAAATTACTAACCGATGTTACTTCTGTTTCCACAGCTGTTTGTGTATCTTTTCAAGCAATATCTGGGTCAGCCTCGTTTACAGAACTGCCTAGATGTGAACTCAGTTGTTCCTGGAACTCACTTTTGGCTTTCCCGTCCCTCAGTTCAATCCTAATAGGTCTTCTAAGTGTGGTTTTTCTGCGTCCAGTGAGGCGCAAGCAAATGAGTGCTTGTACTTAAGCATGATCAGAGTCTAAATATGTACTCCAGAACGAGCAACAGTCGTCTATCGAGCCTCTCCAACGATGAATGATGGCAATATGGTCTATTTGAGTACATCGTCGGTTTCGTGCAGGTGGTCACCCACACCGTGGAAAATTTCTTCTAGAGATACCTGAAAAGGAAATCGGATTAAAGGTGGTCTAAGTGACCTAAGAGTGTGACCGCAGTGCCCATGGGACAACTGCTTGAGGTCGGCCACACACGATCTTTTTGTGTTAGCTCCGTACTTGTTGGGACTTTACCGCCGGGGATGGATGTACAGGGGATAAGGCGACGTGTGCATTTGTAGAGTCGAAATATTCTAACACCACCCCTCCTTGTGGGAAGACATCACCGCTGCCATGCTGGTTGTCTGAAGGAAACATATTCGTTCATGATTAATTTATTACATTCCTCTGGGGTATTAAACACTTAATATAACGTTATTTGGAGCGTGGTATCAATGGGATTCAGGAAGCACGTATCTTCCTATTTAGTACTTCTCAGCTGGGTGAACGTGGGTTTCATTGTTGATGTATACATTGGCAACGCGTTATTCACTGAGCTATTGAGTCTAGATTTCTGATAGCTTGTTCAACGCGTTTGAAATTATTTTAATGAATTTTCGTCGTCTTACAACGTATATTAAGGGCTGCAAGTGATCAGTCTCTATTAGGATATGTGCATCTTGGCTGTATTTCCACAACATTACAATTGAGTCAATTTCAAAAAAGCTTATTACAAAAAGGGTATATCGGTGGAATCGTTTTACTAATAATCAAAAATGAATTAATTCAACCACATATTAGAAAGTTGAATATTTTTGCTTAGTTTAAAATGTTTCTCATTAAACTGATGATTTTAGAATTATTTCATCGAGCAATGATGCTTCTGTACTTAACTTGATCAAAGACTGAAAGTCTAAATGAATGAAAATTCTTATACTATGATATGTTCGGTATTCAGTATTCTTTAGCTTTCATTGTTATTCAATCTGGCAAAAAATTTTGATAAATGCATCTTTATATTTATTTCACATTATTTTCATCTAATAAGATAATACTAACTTTTAAATGATGTCTCTCCTCATGCCTCGTGGTGTAGCGGTGAGCACTTCGGACTTTGAGTCCGGCAACCCGAGTTCGTATCTCGGCGAGGCCTCATGATGTGTGCAAGCCTCCAAATGCCCTGGTACGGCCGAGAGTGGGGAGAGTCCGCTCTTCCTCTCGAAATGCTCTCACATGGCCACGAGAATATATAGCCTCTGCCACAGAAGTCCTACTCACTGCCTTCTCGTGGCGGGGGCGTTGTTTACGAAAGTGAGAGGACGAAAAGCGAATGTCCGGCGCTTTAACCGGGTTGGTGGACATGGAAAGTTCACCTAGGGGAGTTGGAAAACCCTGATTCCAAACCAATAGTGCACATGGGCTTCAGTATCCTGATGGAACCGATGGCGTATGAACCAATCATTGAGCACCGGCTACCATGGGACTGCATCTCCTCACGATGCTCCACTGCCTTGTGGATCAGACCTTCAGGTCAAAGGCTCGGGGTGTGGCCCCCTAGGAAAACCGCCTGCTTCAGTCTGGGCACCTGGGCAGTATCACAGCCCTCACACAAATCAAATGAGATTTGTGAGGCGCATATTTATCTGGTGCTTCCTTGTACCAATAGTTATGTGTTGAAATAATAATAAATAATAATAAAACTAGTGCTTGTTAGAAATAAACGATTGTTTGAGCACAGTTGCAGCAGACGATCACCATTATCTGTCCGCTGAGCTGGAATACTAAAATAACCACTTAAATGTCCTTCTGTTTGGTTCAAGCTATCTAATTGGGCATTGAAGTCACCTGCAACGAGTACTACATCTGGGAGTTTAGCTTCATGAAGAAGTTCACAGAGCTTTCTGTAAAAGTTATCTCCCACTTCATCCGGGCTGCAGTCAGTGAGAGCAAAGGCAGAAATGGCGAAAAGGCAACGGTGTGTGTCCCTATCTTTCAATTTTCTTACGGAGCCGTTTAGGCGAACAGCATATAAAAGATTGTTAACGGGGACCCACTCTAATAGTGCTTGTTCTGCTCTCGTACTAAGTGTTATCCCTACACCTGCAAGTCCACGAGAATTAACCATCGGGTCGCCATATACACCAAGGGCGTATCTCGTCGGCTCTCCGTTTTGGCGAGGTGAGGTCAAGTGAATGACCACACTAGGATCCTGTATGTGTGTTTTGGAGACACAGCATACATAAATTGTACGAGATTCTAGGGTTTTAGCCAAGGAGGCCTACTGGTCTGTTCGACATAGGGTGCGCACATTGAAGGCCCCAATGTGTAGTTTGGACCATGGTTTCAGTAGACCTAAGAAAGTGTTTTGCGCACTAGAATCGTTGGCTATGGTGATACTTGAAGAGGAAGCCGAAAGAGGAAATTTAGTGTCGAAATTCTATGTAGGAGGAATAATAGGAATTGAAGAAGGATTTCAATTATGAATACGGTGACGTTGAGTGTTGTTAGGGATATGAGAGCGGTTATCACTTCCCAGTTGCCCACACTGTGGAAGGGTTCTTCTAGAGGTACCTGAAAAAGAAAATTGGATTAGAGGTGGTCTCAGTGGCCTGAGAGCGTGAACGCAGTGCCCAAGGGACAACTGCTTGAGGTCGGTCACACACGACCTTTTTGTGGGTAGTTTTTGTGTTAGCTCCGTACTTGTTGGGACCTTACCACCAGAGACGGATATTCGTGGGATAAGGCAAGGTGTGCATTTTTAGGGTCGACCTTCTCTAACCTCACCCCACCTTGTGGGAAGGCAGCATCGCTGTTATGCTGGTCGCCTGAAGGAAACACCTTACTGCTGTCACACCTCTGTACAGTCAGCAGTACGACCTCACCTTCGGACCTTGGGTTTGCTGCTTTTAGTCTTACCACTCTTCAACCGACCTGTCTGGCATGGTAAGACCTTGAGGAACGATTGTCCCAGCCAGTATAGCTCGATTGGTTCATCACGATAGGCAAGTCCGACCACCACGTCAAAGTAGCAGCAACGGTCGGGAAAAACCAAATAGAAATGTCACAGGAATTTGTGTAATCTTATAACTCATAAACCAGATAAAAAATATTTGATCCGAACAGAAATGTAATCATAATACAGTCAAACTATATATTCGTTTAGTTGTTCTTAAATATATAATGATTTAGTTATTAATCGAATCAAAAAAGTGCTTATAATATTGAACAGTTCAATAACCATGCATATAGGTAATAATATTTAATTTCTCCATTCCTAAGTTTAAAGCAACCTATTAGAGTGCAGTTGAAAAGTTATCATTTTCTACAGCTATAATGGGATAGAGGACTACAATCAAACATCGTATCGAAAATAAAGTATATCATACCGTTGAAACCAGACTGGCGCCAACTACTACGTTTTCTAAGAACTGACTGAGGAGTTGGAATTAACAAAAGACCAGCTAAGTGTCTTTCGGAACGCTTAGACGAACCACTCCCGGTATCATTGGCAGCTGCCTCTTGTAACATTAACTGAAGTTGACGCTGGGTTAGTTCAGCAGGTATAGGCAGGCTCCACGCCTCATCTACTGTGGGTAATTTCGTTACTCCACCACAACCAGGACCAGGACCATTGCCGACCTGGTTTGATGTTACACTATTGCTGTTCGGACCATTAAATGTGCTTCCTGTTGTTTTATCTGATAGGTTTGGAACTAACTGTTGTAACACAGCTAAACGAGAACGAATCTCTGGACGAACCTAAATAATGAAAAAGGAATATCAGCCGTTTCGATACAAATGAATTACTGCATTATCAAATGATATTTTTTTAGAAACATCATGTAACTGGTGGTAAATTCACCTTTAATCTAGTTTAAGCCTCTACGAGAAACAAAAGTCAAACGAAGTTATTTATGACAAACCTGCACTTTGCACTAGGGACATATGGGTTTGAACCCTGCCAAACCTACTTCAGTTTTAGGCGACAAAATAGTATCGTTAAACCTAGCACAAGACGTGTGGCTAAAGGTCAATCGCATAAACTTCTACCTGACCACTGAGTTAAATTAACAAGTCATAATATATATAATTCATTCCATTATATTGTGAAAAAAAATCTGTGAATATGTGACTAAAACAACACAGGAACTTCTGAATTTAAGATCTATAGGGTTCTTATAGCTATAATCTGTAATCAACATAAAATATACCCGATTTAAATAGATAAAATAAACACTTTTGGTTATAGACAAATTCTGCTTCGAATTGCGATAGTATGACAGTAGCATACGAACCACTAAAAATCGGCAAAGATTAGAACATTTGATTTGTACAACAATTTTACTCATAACTGACACATCTTAGTACATCAGTTTATGAATACAATCGAACAAGTAAAGACAGTAGTTGCATTATTTGTTGTTCGAACTGCTGTAAATAGACATCTACATGATAGTGCTACGTTGTATTCCGAAGGTATGAAATGCAAATTGAAAGACTCATTAGCAGCATCTAATAAACATTATATTTTTGGAAGCCTTCATCACGAAAAATCATACACTGTTAAAATTCTAGGACAATCTTTGTTAATTATGAAGACTTTACCAAACGGAAAGACAGTCCTTAAAGACATATCGATAATAAATCTGTTAAGAGTTGGAGAGAAGAAACTCAACAAATGATACTTGATGCGAAGCCCATTCTAATAAATTATCTAACAGTAAAGCACTCATTATGTATTTTGAAAGTCGTATTGCAAATGCTATTCCGGAGTGCCGTTAGAATACACATTAACCCTTAGTTAATTAACGAAAAAAAGCATTAAGCTACAATTCAACACACATGAAAACTTCGCTGACACTCTGTAAATGTCAATCAATTATTAATAAATGTGCGCCCTCAATCAATCATATTGATGAAATAAGCTGAAAAAGTATGTTCGATCTTTAAAAGAAATTATAAGATTTAAAAATACTAGATAATAAAACATGCGCTAACCTCATTGTGTTTATCAGCGTTTACTGCATTTTTATAACATTTTAAGGCTTCTTTATACTGTTGCATACTTTCATATAAAGTACCCAGATTGGCCCAAGCTGCAACATGACATTTGTCCAGTTGTACAGCACAAAAGTATGCTTGAAGAGCATCCATCGGTTGACTTTGCTCTTGATAGAGCACACCGATGGAGCACCTAAAACCAGTTACAGAAAAATCATAAACACACTTGATAATAAATGTCCATGGACAACCAAGAATGTAAACTCACAGAAAAATAGTGAATTACTTGTAAAAAATTGATGCCTACAAAAAAAACACGAATAAAAGGATGGTTCTTATCCTATATTCTTATCAACGTGTATCATAAAATCTTTGTTACCAATCCTCTGAATGAGACACAACATTGTAAGGGAAAGATGTAAAATTTTGAGGGACGATCAAATCAAATGCTAACAGTACACTTTACATCAACGTATTGGTCAAAAATAATTATACTAACACTGACTTAAAACTACATGTCTAAATGTCATTCAACTCATGGATCATTTTTTAGGAAACTTCCACGTTTGAAACCTATCACTAAAACATAATTACTCCACAAAAATATAAGTGATCTACTACAGAAATATGCTTTTAAGGGCTGGAATTATGTCGAGTGGTTTTTCTGACAATATACTGGAGTGTTTCAAATTAGTAAATAGGAGATAACGGATTACATATTCTCCACAAACTGTTTAAAGTGAATAGTGAAAAATAGCATTCCTGACGGTAGGTAAAACACTTAAACATTAGCATTAGGAATAACTGAATACTTCAAAAAGAATTTCACAAAACATAAATCCAATGATTGTAAATGCATAATAAGATTACGAAGGCAAGACTAGAGAAAACAAATACGTCAGCAGGGTTTACACACCGTTCGTCGTACATATACAGTAGTTCGCGAAATAGGAGCCGAATAACGAGTCTCAAGTGATAAGTATAGTATAACGTGGTATACTACGATAAAACTTAAGAGAGAGGAAACCAAAGTTACACGATTTTATCTATCAATACTGAACGTATTGATGAATATTATATTTCATGTAATTAACTAGAACTTCACAGTGACCATTTTTCTTAGCACAGCCAAACAAAGAGAAAGCCTGAACCCACTGAAGCACTCTTATCACGTGAAAAGTTAGAGAAATTCATCCTCTGCCTGTCTTCGTAGAAATGGTTATCCCAGAAACTTCATCGAAAAGCCCTACGAGAATCAAACTACCGTAATAAAATCAGCCACAGAGAATGAGAAATGAATAATTCTGTCATACGTGAAAAACATCTAAGTAATGACCATGAGGATTTTGAAACTCTTTAGAATCAGTATGGTTTAAAAACTCGACTGCATCAAATAAAGAAAGAATAACAAAACAGTTAAAGAAGACAAATGTACTATCATTTACAAAACAAATCATACCAAATAAAACAAACATTACATCGGGCAAAATGGACTCCTTTCCTTAATTACTAACACACGCACACAGACTAGAAATGAAGCGACATTTTGTGTTATCACTCCCATCAATACACACAGAGTCGTGTACATGAATTTTACTGAAAAAAAATTTAAAATTCTGGATCAAGGAGATTCTAAGGATTACAGTAATTTTCTAGAAGTGCAGTATTCAGACTAATCGGCAAATGAATGATACATCGACATGTACCCGATCTATAAACTCAAACGAATAAAAGGTCATTTAATCACATGGTCAGAGATCAATAGAACAAGACAGTCAATATGAATAGAATGATAAATAAAGACAATAATACTTATGAAAATAAAGTCGCAATGTCACCAGAACGAAATGACAAAATGCTCATTGTTACATGAAGTGACCACTGATGATGTCGTTCAGTAAGACAAAAAAAGCTCCTCAGTTAAACCCTCTGGTTCAGAGGACTCAACACCGAAAACTAAGAAATCCCTTATTTTCTCAAGTGTATTTACTGAAATATGATGACGCAGGAAAGATTAATTGACAAAAAAGAATTAAAGGTCTACGAAGCATATTGTTCGACCTACCAAACCGTTAAAATACTTCATAAATACTGCGGTCCCTCTCTTATGTTGCCAAACTAAAAATGAACCGAGTAGTACTACATATTCGTGAATTTTTTGCATGAATACGGTTTGACTGAATCGGAAGAAATAATATACAATTATGCTAATCAGTTTGATGTTTTTCTAACCACTTAAAAAACAGCAAAATTAGCTGGTAATTACTTAAAATTACTACTTCAGTAACAATTTGCCATGGTATTTTCGAAAGAGTGAACTTTTTTTAAATAGTACAGTTCTAAACTATGAAGAAATTTTAAGAACAAACCAGGTATCAGCACTAGCCTCCGTTTTGTCTATAGAACTTCTATATGCTGCGAAAGCCTCTTGAACATGATTTAAAGCAGCTTGACAACGACCTAGTAAGTACCAGGTTTTGCCATTGGTGTTATCTAATTCTAAAGCACTTTGAAGCCATTGAACATCTAGGCCTTTTTCGTTTGGCGATTCAGGTTTTGATCCAAAAGCTCCCGTATGATGAAGCCAAGCTAAAATTCAAAAAATGAACACATTTTTTACTTGAAATTAGTCTTTCATTTTGCGAAGCTCACGCCTAATAATGCACTACTTGCTTTTCCTAAGTCTCTCAGGTGCTACTCGGAACTCATTGCTAACAACTAATACTGTTTAAATCCAAAATAAGGAATCTAAGCCTAAGCTGCCACAGATAACACACATTTTTCAATTGAGGACCAGAAATACCGCTAACATTTAAAGGCTGAGATAGGTGGGGAGTTGGAGTCTGCAATTTATGCCTGGAAGTCAAATGTTCTAACATCTAAATAAACACCCGTAACTAGTAATTCTACATCAGAAAAGAATTCGAACACACACGTATCATTACTTTCTATTTAATGGTTTTTACTTAAAATTTAAAATCCGACGATTGTTTCTGATCCATTAGATCTACTGATGTCCTTCATAACACCTCACAAAATTTTCAGCCAGAAAGTCACTTTCCACAACTTACTATGTAGAAATGCCATGAACCCTCCAACCAACTAAATTTCTAGATCTATCATATGGTTTATTTTAATAAACTAAACCTTTCGTCTAACCTTAGAACTACTCAACCCGTAGTAGTACCAACACACAAAAGTCAATAAAAGAGTTGAATATAAATGAATGTAGCAAACATACTGAGTAAACTCAGTACTGTTTATTTCCAGATATTTCTTAATGAAAGTCTCTGCCAAAGGTTCCACTCATCAAGTTACTGAACGGAATCGATTCTTGATAAGTACTGTAAACAATATGTTTAACAGTTCAAGAGAAGCGGTAAATTCTGACGAACAACGGGGCACTGTGTTCTAGTAACATGAACCACCGTTATTTACAATCGTTAAATTAATACCTAAAACTATCGAAATTGTTTCGCAAAGCTACAAGCAGCTTTACTTGCCATTTTTATGGCGTCATGCAAATGTAGCCAGTGTCCAATTATGCTTGTAGGTGGGTTGGTAGCTAGTCTTGAACCTAGCTCGATACGATATTTAGTTGTAACAAAAGCTCCGACCAATTAGCTGACATCGATCCACTGATGAATTTATTGACCACTGGAACGTAAGTTTAGAGCAAACAAAGGCATAGTCAGAGTCGAGATAAGTACTCCATGAGGAGCGGCAGTCTTGTACACAATTATGACAAAAGTAGCTGATTGAAATGTGACGAGTCTGAGTCCTGACCTAAGATCCTTAGGGGGGACGTCAGGTAGCACATTGATGATGGCTATGCCGACAATTAGTGCTAGTCAGAAACAGGCTGCAGTCTGGATACAGTTGTAGCAGAGGGTCATCATTATCTGACCTGAGACTAACTAGTCCCCGTCGGCCATCCGGTCTACGGCGCTCTGTCTAGACTCCCGACCTGATTATTCAAATCTATGGCTAGTAGTACTACAATATCTGTCGAACGCACTATCTGGAGATTACTTAACTGATGCTAAAACTCACCCTCAATTGCATCCGGGCCGCAATCTGTCGGGGTGTGGGGAGAGATAACGAAAAGACTACAATTATCATACTTATTTCTCATTCTCATAGACCTTCCTAATATAACAGCATAACCGACTGTTAGTGGAGATCGAATCGATTAGTGACGCCTCAGATCTAGTGCTTGGTACGATATCATTTGATTTCTGTATGGGCTATGGTACTGCCCAGGTGACCAGACAGAAGCAGGTGTTTTTCCTAGGGGGTTACTTCAGAGGATTGAACTTAGAGGTCTAATCCATAAGGCAGTGGAACAACGTTAGGGGATATGAGATCCCATGGTAGCTAATGACCAGGAAAAAGCTCATACGCCATCTGTCTCCTCAGGACCTTGGGATCCATATGCACTACCGGTTTGCAATCAAGGTTTTCCAACTCTTCTAAGTGGACCTTCCGAACCCACCAACACAGTTTAAGAGCCGGTTATTAGCTTTTCGCTCCCTCAATTTCGCAAGCAGCACCCTTACAGCGAACAACCAGGGAGTGACTACAATCGATGAGTCATCCACATATCGTGCGTTTGAAAGGACTCGTAGAAGCCAGAATGTGACTTATTACCACTGATTAAACTTTGCATTCATAACAAAAATATAGTCGATTCGCTTTGCATACTTCGAACGCTGTATGTTAATTTGCGAAACCAGTAATTAGTAAGTATGTAAGCTTAAATAATTTAGCATGAATAATAATATAACTTAGGTGATCAATGTAGTTAAAAATGGAAAGGTTAAGAAAGAATAAGTAAAATATGACATACCTAATTGTCGAAGACAAAGATGACGGATGTGTGATGGAGCACCGCTTTTCTCAACATCCAATAATTGAAAGTATTCAGTCTTTGCCTGTTTAGGTTTGCCACACACCTCGAACAGATGAGCGATATGAAACCGTACTACAGTTATTTTAGTTAATTAAAAGACAAACTAACATTCAATCCGGTTAAATGTGGCAGGCGTCGAATCGTTCAAGGCTTGTCGAAAATGTCTCAAACTTCTTTCGAAGTTATTTTGTATCTTGTATATATAGCCAAGACGAATATGTATCTCCTTACACTTTGGAAACCACGGTTGTAAATATAAAACTTGCTGAAAAAGCCTGATAGTCCTAAAACAAAGAAACTCCTAAAATAACAGTGAGTAGCGTACCTGTTGAATACGTTAAAACGAAAACAGCACAGGCCTAAGCCATATAGGAAGGAGCAGTTGGTCGAAGATTCGCTGGGACAAAGTGATTCAAACTTAAGATACGCAGACAGGGCATCGTCAAAACGATTGAGCAGAAGCTGAAAATGACCAAGATGTAAATAAACTTGTGGTTCAATAAGTTTGTCGAGCTGTCCTGAGTATTTTTCATATATTTTGTATCGCACGGAGTTCGGACTTTCCTCTATAATACCCGCTTCGACTTTGGTAAGAGTTTCGCTTTCCTCCACAGAACGCTCTTCCTCGATCTCTAGAACAGTCTGGGAAATTATACTGTCAAAGTAATCGACGGCCTATTGAAAAATATAACTAAACAACATAAGTCACCTTTTCTAATAGTTTGCGACGTTCGTGTGCCTCGGGAGTGTCAACTTTAAAAACACCGAATTCCAAGCTGAAAAAAAATAATAATAACAATATGCTGACAAAAAACTATCATGTACGGTCAATCTTAGCATGCCTAAATCTACAAAACTTTAACAATTTTCGAAGCTGTGGATATTCTTTTATTCAGCAAATGTATTTGAAATAAATCATCACTTTTTTGATGAATATCTTGTGAAATTACACGTTTCCTTTCTGTAAAAATATAACTTCCTAGCGAAATTTTCTTCCGTTTGGAATCCGACATTAAAATCTCTGAGAATAATATCGGGTTTACCGTGTAGAGTAGGAATTCGAGATTGTATGACTACAATGATAGTTCTGCGAATATGTAATCAGCTCTAAAAATCAATGTTTTTCTTGGCCCACGTGCAAGTATTCTATTAGATTTTAGAAACGGTATTTTTAGATGATTGAAGAAATCTAGAAAGAGAGGGCCAAGGCCGAGAATATTTCGCATGTTTAAGAGGTTATTTCAGTGAGTGCAACGATTTTAATTAAACACGTCTCCAAACAAAGTTTGTGACTATAGTTGAACTGTTAACTCAAATAACTGGAAATAAACCAAGATGAATTTTCATCGATTGGACCTAGTAATATAACGTATTGCCGAGGGATACTAATGAACAACATAGGACCTGGTAAAAACGCCCATTGGTCTAAATTGAAACATTGAGTAGTTTCACTGTCTTGGAAATACTCCAAACTTTTGTGATAAAAAGTAAAAATAAGTAAATCGAGAAACCATGACGGAGACTGATGGACAGGATCAATTTACATCACCCCTCGTTAACGCAGCAAGATGAATGTAGGGGCGAATCAAGAATAGTAGAGGTAATAACAGTATAAGAGGTGATAAAAAAAGATAAGACATCGAACATACGATTCCAGAAAAATAAATTGGTAAAATAAAAACATTATGAAGAATTCAACCCATCAAAGCTAGTATCACAAGATTGTGACACCAATCAAATAATCGTCACTGAACCCAAACATGCATTTCCAAATCTTGGAATCAGTAACACGGTTATGCCACTGGATGTGGCCAATTCTCTGGAAATCATGAAGACAGAACACAGTCACCGTACATTACTGTCACAGAGAAACCAGGTTTCACAAGGATATAAAATAACTGCTCTCACTGACACTTAGTGAACACAACATTTAATAACCACATCCACATCACGATGGCGCCAAATATTAGCATACATCTCTATGAATACCACTACATCTAGATTAACTAATCTGCCACTCCACCAACATTCACACTACCCAAAAGTTGAAAGTTCAATAACTTTCAAAACTTAATCACATAGTATGGGTACAGGTACATACTCCTTTTGTCAGGATAAATATCGGATAATGACGAAGTTCAGTTGTGAACGTGATGAACTCGAGTGCTACTGGAGACTACTGCTAGTCTCACAGTACTCTACATTCCAAATTTGCTGAGTACATACTATACAAATACTTGCGATTCGATGTTAATATTCAGCTGCACTGCTTGATTATATACTACTAACCATTTAGAACCCTAACCGTCTGTTAACAGTCGATTAACATCATAGAAACTCCAAACTGCAGTGAAAAATAAAGAACAGAATGATTATTTCCTTAATTTCAAGGACTAGAAAGTTGTACCTCTGATAGCAATGCTATTTTCTGCTGTCTTGAATTTACTTTCATGACTGGATATTCAGTTGTTCTATCCAAGAGAGCTTTTATTGCACAGTGGCTGTTAAGCTGACTTAACCATATTTGTACGGTTATATGGCACGACAATCAGACTTAGTTTACTTATGTATCAAAAACAATATAGAAGTAGGGAAAATTTGACCATTTGTTCGTAGATATCTTTGAAACATTGTCTGTATACGCCAGTATACTAATGAGCGTATAGTACTGGGTAGAGATGGATATGAAATTGAAGACTTATCAACCGAAGTTTCGAACGGTCGCCACATACTTTTAGCTACACAATATTTTAAAGCCCTATGTTGGTTAGTACAGCGATGGGTTCTAACAAGGCTAAGGGTTGAGCAACATCAGTTCATGAGGTCACTGACGTTACTTAGCTACCAGAATTCTGCGATCGGGCTTTCTCAGTGGGAAGAACACTTACTTTACACCAGCACTGTGTGATGAAAGCAACAAATCACAAGGCTATTATTAGGGATTAACATGGGTAATTTCGTTGACTTTGTTAGCCCCATTGTACTCTCCAGACCATGCCGTTACACGGAGGAAAAAGGACCAAGATACCAACAAACCAGAACTCTAAACTTATCTTCCATGTCAAGTGGAAACTTGTAATGGTATAGTTATTCACTACTCTCAACACATTCCAACATTTATGTAGGTTTATACTACCAATTGGTACTTAACAACAAAATGTGAAAAAGTAGGACGAGCAACATATATTTCAGCTAGAGTTAAAGATTCAGACTGAAAACGGGAAAATTTCAACAGTTTTGCATCGTAAAAGACTCAATGTACATAAATGTATTTCGGACAGATTTCGGACATGTTCAGGTAAATATCCAGCTTCAACGCAAAAGTTTTATGATAGGGATAATTTTAAAACAGCCTTTTTACAACTTGTTCCACATACCTATCTAATTGAGATAGTAAAGCACAATCCTCATTGCTAAATATACCAGGAGCGCATAATCCCGTAGACATTAAAAGATTTTAAACTTGGCTCAAAAGCATAGACAACCTTCAATCCACTTTGAACTTCAAACTAAAAACGTTATTCAATCGGATGTGCCCTAGATAGTAGGAGAGCATTCCCGTTCATTTCATTTAATAGTTCGTATTTTGTTTTCTCTGAAAATGCAGTATTAAAGAATTCGTAAGGAATAGGAGTATTGATCAGGTAATTACTCCTAGAGTAAACTCGTCATGTACGTAGAGGACAATAAATCCCAGACCTTATTAGTTTCATAAGTACCTGAAGTTCACGTTACCCGAATATATTTACTTGATACACCCCTAGCCCATGGCTTTTATTCAAGCATCCGCTTGTGATCAAGATTGAGTGCGTCGTGCCACTTACTCAGTTTTCACTCTTTAGTAATAATTATAGTGGGTCGATGTGGCTGTATTAGGCGTTGCGGCTTGTTTTCTGGAGAAGACCAAGCTCCTCCTTGAAAATATTTGCTGATGGTACTGATACCACTTGTTCGGGCAGGGTATTCCAGTCATTAACTAGTCCATTAGAAAAATGGATTCCCATTTTGACTTTATCAGATCTCAGGGTTTTCACCTTCTTTCTAGGGCCTGATTTATGATTATTTATGAAAGAAGCGAAAAGTTAAGACGTGTAATGTTATGTCTTGTAGGTTGAACGTTTTATTCGGATCCTAGCTATTCGGATAACCCCAGGCTAGCACTACTCAGCGACTTGAAAGACCAGAGAGAAGACACGAGTATCAGAGAATCACTTTACTACAAGGTTCATTTATGTACAGAAAAAACAGGGGTTTTATAGTAATTAAAAAGACATTGAGATTCCATAGTAGCAATATGTTTAACAGCCAATCAGGACCTCATTATTTTAGTAGCATAGCTTCTAACTAATCGCTGATTAGTTGGGCTCTTTATGAGCCTCTCTGGAGGCTCTGATAGAGTTTATTGTAAGCCGACCTAACATATAAACACCTGAATTGTTGTTAAAAATACAGAGTACTAACACAAGATCAGCTCACGTACTACAATACGAAATGAGAACAAAGTTCATGCGTTTTGAGCATTCATCACAAATAAGTTTGGGAAAACCCGTCTCTAACTTTGTTCTCACAAGTTGAATACTTTTGACTAATTTATTATCCTTACTAAGACATGGACAGGCTGTCTTGATACAGTACTGTGGATTTGGTCCTACATAGTTCGAAAATAAAGTCCGAAACTTTTCCTCGTCAAGACATTTGAATGCTCAGTTAAACTGACAGTAGGGCCAGTGAAATGTCACTGAGCCCTAGCTAAGTCATCCGACAGTTGAGTCACTAAACATCAAACAATTCATCGATCTCCTTTAAAGTCAAGGACAACGAACATGCATAATTTATTCGTACATCAAGGGCTGGCCTATGCGGTGATGGCCGAAATTTCGCTTTTACCTACTCTAACAAATATATTTCTGTAATTACGTTCTTTGCGTCACATGGTCTTCAAAGCAGCCATTGTACCTTCATACATCGAAGGGATCCATGTCGTTAGGCGCTGACCATGTTAAGTGGCTGCGACGTCACCTGTTGCTTACAACATTTCCATCTAAAATGAGTAAGCCCACAATCATTCGACATAGATCATTAAAGTTAGTGATCTATATGACCATAACACGCGCAAACCTTTTGCTATTGCACAGTTGAAATCCCAAGTTATTTTCAAGTCATGACGTAAAGTTACCCGTACGTCTGCGCTCCTGAGAAAATCATGAGTGTACGTCACGGGTAAACCACGACTGGGCAACACGACTGTGAAAAAAACAGTCAGACCAAGGGGCATATTATGTCGGGAATTGGAAGCACACATCAAAAGAATGAAAAGAGACTGTAAACAACTGGGATGAAGCAACTATGACGGAGAATGTTGAAAAATCGTTGCTGACTGCCTATGCTCCTCCATGAGGGCTAACAGGTGTGAGTATGTAATACAAATATTAAGCCAATTCTTTTGATACGATAAGATGAACATCTAGGGCATTTTACGTGTTAATCGTCGAGGGGTTTTGAAACACTCATCACTAACTCTGTTCCTACTCGCTGAACACTCTAATGGAATAGAGTTCTTGGTAGGGCGTGAACTCGCTGCTTTGATGCAATATTTTTGATGAGATCTCAAATGAGTTGAGCATAAAATTCGAAACATATCTGTAGTGGTATCGATCCGTCTCTTTCCATATTAAAATATAAGGCTGACGATAGCATCCCTCAAATCCCTGGGGAGTTGCGTGTGCAAAAGAGACATATGGATCAGCACCGTGAGTAGCCCTGAAACAGTGTATGCGAGAGATGATAGAAATTGTGGATGTAACCCATGAGGACCCGGTGTCTTACTAGGACTAGGGTTAATGGAAAATTGAAGAACAGCATCCTCAATCATATGTAGGGCAATATAGCCGGTATCTCAGTGGAGTGGTTGTGAGAAGTGTCATTACCCATACCTGCAGAGTACACGTCCCTCAAATAGTCTGATAAAATCCCAGATTTGACTGTGTCCGAATCAGCCAGCATAACTAAGTTTTTGTGATACAATGAAGAAGGAATTCCACAATTAAGTTTATTTTTTGGCCTATCGTACGAAAAAGATCGTTTTGAACAATTGTGGCTAACGTGTGCCACCTGTCCGTTGTAAGGGAAGCCGCTTCTGGCTATGGTCGTTTTACATATATTACGCATTTTCAGGAATTCGCATTTCAATAATTCGTGGCCTGTTGACAGGAACGAGTCCCAGAAGTGTTTTCTATGGCTCAGTAAATTTCATGTTCTTCAAATTACAATGATCATAGAAGACATATACCTCGACGCATCAACCACACTTCAATCTCTCTTTGTATGCCTTCACTTACGACTTGTGGTTTAAGTGGTCCTTGGATCCCCAAATAGAAATGTGATTTATACAAAAACATTGGGGTATATTTGTGACACCTTTAAATACCTGCATAAGTAAAATTTTCAACGTTTTTGCAGAATTTATTAGTAATGGTTTTTGGAATAGGTTTCCGATAAATATTTTATTCTGACTACAAAATATTTGTAAAAACTAACGTCTGGTTAATTCGTGTTTGATCTCAACTAGATTTCTTATTGGATATTACCGAACAAGACTGTTAACAATAGTCTGTTGGCGGTTACTGGATTGTAAACAATGCAATGCACTATTGTCGTATTCCTCTTGATGGTTACAAGCTGCACAAGTTCACTTGGTGCCCCCTGCCTATGTCGATAACTGTTGTTTCTCAGTGTTCAGCAAAAATCCAATAATGAGCATTCTCGTGCACTTTCCTTTCAAATTTTGTGTCACTGTTACGTATAACAGTTCAGTGTTTAATTTTTACTTCATAATAATCAACTTAAGCTATCTAAATATGTCTTGTTTGAACAATTCACCATAGTAGTACCCAAATTATCGAATAAAAAAAAGAGACGAAAATGGAAGTAGAGCACGGAAATGAAATGCACAATGAAAATTGTGCATTACTATGCTTATATCCTTTATTACTTAATAGAGAATGGTTTGGATGATACGCAAATATCAAGTTTGGAGGGATGAAATAAAAATATTTCAACACGTATTTTACCTCAGCACAATGACACGGCATGTCTTTTATTTCAGTAAATCGTCGTCGATTTTTCAGGCAGCAAAATAACGAATAAATGTTTTCACTCGTGGAATTTTCAAGCAAACATGGCATACAGTTCCGAATATCCGGGGAATTACTTCTATTTAAGATTTTAAGGAAAAAACTTAATTCTATGGAAATTAATCATCAAGAGTTGAAAGTTACTCCGTAGTTAAAATTATCATTCGACGCAAATCAAATTCACGAAACTGATTTTAAATTTCACTTATTCATTTGAAGTTTCCGGTGAATGTTAAATACATTCTTGTTAAAGCAGATTGCAATCATTAATGCTTTTGTTCAAACGTTGAATTTACGACGTTTGTGGTCAACGCTTTTCATTTCGTTCTATCCTTCTACATCATATTTTCTTATAACGGTATATTATTACCTAAACTTTCTCCGAACTTTGTTCTTACTTATCCACAAAGTAATGGGTTTTTGTCTCATATGTCTATTTTTCGAGCAGCCTAACGAGTTGGACGTTAACTGACTTTTGCATATTACATGCACACATTTACTAATTGTTTTGAGTTTATATGTCTAACCATGAAAACATTATCCGTAGATCGTTGCCCCATTATTCATTCCACAGAATGCTTTACGCCCTATTGTAACGAAAATGTCTAGAAAATGCTTCGCTGAAACTTTTGTTTTAAACATACAGATGACTAGGAAATCTTTTTAAATATATGTCGAACATATGTCAGTCATCGACTGATCGTTTTCAAATCACTGTCACGTCGAAACAGCAAATGATTGGATCATCACTGACAACAATTTTTACGGATGATTATTCCACATATGATATCCTATGAGCTGGTTAATCATTTGGCACACACAGTATGTCTGTACAAATAAATATCATACTAATCCAAGGGATGGCATTTTTCTTTGCCCCTTTTTTAACGTGACAATATGGTGTATTGCAAATTTTGTGATAAATGCTTATCAATACACGTACAATATGGTCACTGTGAATTTTCTACGTATATGGATTTTATTTGTTGATTCTTTCTGGGTATTTTCTAGCTTTCATGGTTCTATTCCTGTGCGTTGTAACAATCTGTCTTAAAAAGGCTACTAGTGATATTGTAGACAGGCGTCAACTGCGAAGAATATTGCTGAGGATTGTAAGATAAGAAGCATATGTAGTGTAAGATTCTCAATACGCTTTATAAACCTGGTGTACGTGCTGTATCTTAATGGGATACGCAGTTGCAGAACAGTGATGGACAAAAATGAACCCTTCAGACAACATTTTAAACTCATCATAGTTGTGGCAAAATCAATGAATACAATTTTGAGATAACTAGGAGAGGAGAACAACAGCTGTTCTGTATCAGCTGAATCCGAATAGATTC